CTTGTAGTCTGCAAAACTTTCCATCCATCTTCACTTTTCAACTGCATTATGTTAATTTAAAATTTCAAATAAACTTTCAAGACCAACAACTGAAATTTAAAGAATATTAAATAAGTTTTTCAAATACTTCTCTTGAACTATGTATCTGTTATTTTTATCATTGCCACACGTTGCCCTTCTAAAAATATTCCCAACGCAGTACATTTTTGGGCCACAAAAATTCCAATTTATTTAATATATTCGATAAAGATCAATTTTTATACGCCAATAAAGAAAATATTGATTTTCACTTGCACTTTTCGAGCATTGGGCTCAACTTTTCACACAATTGAAAAATGTCAGACGAAATGACAGAAACTTTTGTTACCTTATTATTATTTTTGTTTTGTTTTATTTTCGTTTTTGAATATTTTTATACGTTACGAGTGTAATAAACATCAATGTGGTTGGGGAATGGGCAGACATAAGGCATCTGGTTCTCTCCCGTCAATAAAGAACCAAAAGGGCGACAAACAAACAGAGGGCCGAGCTGACAAAAGTTTGCACAAAAATCATAAAGTGCAGGGAAAAGTTTCTGGCCAAAAGCGGGCCAACTCTCGTAAAGTCGTAAACCAGAAAACCAAAGAAGAGGCATCAGGGGTCGGGTCAGAGGTTAGGGGAATGCCCCAAGAAATCGACTAACATCAATTTGAAAATGGCGTAAAACTAGCAGCGATTTGTTTGCATGCTGTAGCTATGCTATTGTGGTTATCAAGCATCCTCGGTGGTGCATTTTTGCCCAGTTTTTTTCCCCACTTTGCATTTTATCTTTATTTGCATTGCGGCTAACCAGTGACAAGCATTCTTGTGGCCGGACATGTCGAGTGGTTTTTGTTTTGAAGAAAACTTTCTTTTTCCGTTCAGCCTTTGGAACTTTGCCAGTGTCGAAGATTCTTCTCTGCGAAATGTTTGTTATAAATTAAGCTTGCTGCGGTCATGTCTTCTGGGGACATGAACTTTTATCAGAGATACACAAATTTGCGGGTCATAACTTTTAAGGGGGTAGACCACCCTGAACGCATGAAATTTGGAGGGTTTTTCAAAAATTCATTTTGACTAAGTTATTGGGAATACAACTTTTTATTTATTAGTACATCAAAGTACATATGTTAAACTAAAAAATACTTATTGAAAGAAAAAAAAATATTTACGAACCTCGGAGATATAGCCAGTCAAAAAACGAATTTTTTTTAGGGAATGGTCGGATGGTGTACATGCTGCACACCACATTTGTTATCCGAAATTCAAAAACAAAAATTTTTTATAAGCTATATAAGTATGGCTATAGCATGACGTAGCCGTTTTTGGAAATAATTTTTTTTGAGCAAATGGGAGCACTTTGAAAAAAAAAATTTTTTTTTTTAACAAAATTTTTGATTTAAAAATTTATAACTTTAAAACAAAAAAACATATCGAAAAAATCCTACGTTATGCCATAGAGGGCATTATAGAGAAGCTGTGTAAAAAATTTGAAGAGAATCGGTCCGGCGGTTTTTGAGAAATCATGTACACCGTTTTAAAAAACGTTGTTTTGAGAAAAACGCAAAAGAAGATAAAGAAAGTACTCTACGGTATACCGGCAGCGCTCACTTCTAATGCCTGTAGAATCCACAAGTAACGAGATATTTTTAAGCCCGATGTCTTAAAATGACCGTAAGAATATCAGCATCAAGATTGATTAAAAAAAAAAAATTAGATTTTTAAAAAATGTCAGGGTGGTCTACCCCCTTAATACAAATACATATTTGTTTCCGCTTAGGAAACGCTCTTTCTTTTCAATAGCGGTATTTTCATAAATCGTTATCGCTTTAAATTGGGTTTTAATTGGTCAGCAGGGGCAATGCAATTGTTGTGTATAATTATTTGGGACTATTAAGTGAAAGATTAATGAGCCTGGGGTTTTTGCGGTGCCATAATATCGTTGTTGTTGCCTATTATTTATGACCATCAGTTCGCGGGAGGGGGGGAGGTGATTATTTACGTAATAATTACATAACTATAGTGCAAGCGGCTTTAATTGGTCGTTTACAAACTAAAGTTAACATTTAACTGCAAAAGTAGTGCCTGGTCAACGAGCACAACTTAATATTCAGTGGACAATAAATTATCAGGAGTCAAAGCATAAATACAGATGGCAAAGTTTGGAAAACTTTAAGAATGTCACAGGACACGGTCCAGGGTGCTGTCCCGGTGATAGAACGCACAGGCAATAACCATTTATATGGGACCGAGGGTGACATTTCAGCATGGCCCGGGGACACGTCCTGGAAGTTGGACTGGGCCCCAGGATGATGGTGCTGTATCATTCAAAAAGGTGCTTCCAACCTTGGTGCGGACAGGAGAGCATTTAGAAATTAATGATAATTGACACAATAAGCGACAAGTTGAGCCGACAGAGCAAGGCAGAAAATTCAAGGGAAGGATACTTTTTCCTGGACACACTCCGAGGCCAGTGGAGGATAATAGTCGATGGCATTGGAAGCCAATAAATAAAAGCCAATGAAAACAAACAGCGTGCAACGAGGCAAAACGTGCAGACAGCTGGCCCAACATACACAAAACATACACTGAGGATACAATAAATCATTAGATTAGCGAAAAATAACCTGTTTATATTAGAAAATCTATAATATATGCTCAACACAATACTTAGAATTTTAGAGTTTTCAGATAAAACTGAGGCCAAAGTGTTTAAACTATATAAATTAATACTATAAAAACAATACATAACTTTTTATTTTATTTTTATTCAACATACATACATTATTATAAACTTAAACAGATCTGAAGAATTTGGTAAACGCTTTCGCTTAACGAAGGCGTCAAACACATTTAACGCTTAATTACATTGAGGTCAAAGGGCAATCGTGTGAGAAACCGTCAGCACACAAATTTCTACTTCCTAATTAGGCGGAAAAATTAACCGCCCTCGCAATTACAAGCCCAAGAGCAAGCAGAACCTTTCCGGATTTTTGTGCGCTCTGGCAATCAAAGCCACTGACAGAAACTATAAAATCTCACTGCTCACGTATGCCTCTCACTTTCGCATTTATGGAAATAATAAAAACTGATTTGGCGCCTGTTTTATTGAAAGCTCTCGCCGCTCCTGGCCACAGTGCTCATGCTCATTCCATCCCTCTCAATTAAGTTGCTTTCATCATGCACGACTTTGTCATTCAATTAACTATTGCATTGCCAATAAGTGAGTGGCACATAAAATGTGAGAAATGCGAACGTGACTTACTCAATACGCGTTTAAGTTTAATAAAGTAAGTACAATTTGTACAGCAAGTTGAAACGCAACTTTTAAATGTTTAAAAACTCTTATAAAAATGACTATTGATTTTTCTAAGGAAATATTGTCACTTAAAAGTATTACTTAGTGTCAGGAATATAATCGGATATGACTCATTGAAAGTGTTACTAGCTTATGACTAAAATTAAAGCAAATTAGAATACTTTTTAGTTATTTATTTAGTAAGTAACTACTTTATAAAAATAATCTTATAGGAGTATTTTTGAGAAAAGTAAATTATAAAAATATTTAGAATATACATATTTTTATATACATTTAGAAAGAAAATTACGAATTTTGTGATATTTCTATCTATAATATAGAAATAAAATAAACTATTTTTCTTGTATGGTTATTTATTTGTATATATATTTTTTTTAAATACTTAAGAACTATCTCTTATGAGTCTTATAAGCAAAGATACATATGCAAAATTGGAAACATATTTTAATCTTTTAGAAAGTTTTAACTTTAGGATATATCATATAATATAGAAATAAATCCACAGCTTTTTTGTAAGGTTATTTAACTGTAAGAAATACTTATAAAAAACATAATTTGAAACATATTACATACTCAATTTAATAAATATTTCATACATAAATAAATACATATCAAATTAAAAATAATTATAACTTGCTGTAGGTAAGAAGGGATCACACTTTTGGTGAGATCTCTGTGCCTTCTTGTTTTAATTTATCCTTTAAAACTATATGCGGACTGATCTTATTCCTTTTGGCACTAACTAATAATAAGAAATAAATATACACTTTATTTAAGATATACATATTCCTGTAACACATGGAGATACTAGAAAAATCGCTAGAGACTTTAGCCTTATATGACTTATTCTTATTTAATGACCTTTTTTTTCGCTGTTAAGATATAATATATGATATAGTTTATATCTTTATAATTTTGTAAAGTTTCTTAAAATCTTTTGTTGTCCTGCCTTTGCTTTTTGACAAGACACTTTCCCAAAGTCCCATCCATAACTTTGCTCATTCCTGGCCAACAAACCCTTCGACATTGTGGCATCTACTGGCCCGGATCATAGATTGAAGCTTCAACTTTTCGGCTCAGCCGGGCAGCTGCTTTGTTTTTAAAAGCTTATGCTCTCATGCTCATATTTTGTATGCCCATATCTAGGGGGGGCAGGGAGACGAAAGCCGGCTGGAATTTGTGGCTTAGCTTCGATTCGTTACAATTGGCCAATATTTTGGCTTTGTGATGGCGAACAATGCGGCATAGAAGTTTGGCAGAAGATTTTTGAATTTAGCGTGCCAAAGGCAAACGAATTCCCCCATGGAGATGAAGCTTGCTGCTGCTCCGGCTAGCCTTATCCTTTTCCTCTCCTCCTCTACTCTTTTCAGCCATTGCCCATTTCCTTTGCGCCTGTGTGTGTTGGTGCGCACGAAACCGGAAATGAAAGTTCTGGCAATTGAATTATGGATATAAATTTGCGCTTGACTTTCGCCGTTCTTGTTTGACAGAGACGCTACCTTTGGGCAAGTGTCTCTTGGATTTTTTTGCACTTAGTTGGCCTCGTAGGCTGTGACAAAGTTGGCTTTGGATTATTCTAACTAAAATTTTAAGACCATCAAAATCACAGATTTTATTCGAATTCACATAAATAATAGCTTAACATTTCGAGTGGCCGTTGGCCATGAGAATATCTTCGGTACGTCTACCAAGAGCGAGTGGTAGAAGTTCGTTCGCATTTTCTATGCTAGGCCTCAAGCGGACCTCCGGAGTTCTCAATTTCGGGCACAGCATGACAGAGGTGAGTTGTGTTCAAGAAACAAATATTGTAGAGGAGACCGAAACAATCCGTAATTATAAATTAGTTAAGCTCTTATAGTAACTACAAAAAAAAAAGCCAAACCAGAAATACAGAGCAAAAATATAGTAAATGGATCTATTTTGGACAGGCGCTTAATAGTGCTTTCCAAGAAATTATTTCATTATCCAAGACTTGTAGCAGCTCCTGACTACTCCCTTCCGAAAAAAGTGAATAGCAACCCAGATATAATATCTAAGACAAAAAAAAATAAAATAGATACGAAGACAAGATTATGCAGCGCTCTCGAAGGGCATGGCAGGCTCAATAGGAGTTTCAAAATTGGTCAGATTAATAGAACCATTTTCCTTGCCAAAAGTCTGTCTAGGATACAAAGTTAAAAGGCAATAGGCTTATTGGCCAATAGCAGCTTATCACATCTTCGGAAAGCGAAAGTATGAAACGAGAAGTTCGCTTTCAGAAAAGAGAATTAAGCATTCATTTCATGATTCTATTTGAGCCAGGAGCACCAAATAATTAAGTAATTACAATGAGACCCTTCGGACTTAAACCCAGGTTCAACTAAGAGAATTAAAGAAGAGTCCTGCTCATACGAAGTCTAGTAATACTAAATAATCAGAAGTATCAAAACTTGTTATTAGAATCCCGTCCCGAACCATAACGTCCCTTACGAACCTTCGGACACATTGTTTACACAATTTAACCTGTTCAGGAAAAGGCTAGGAATCCCTATAGACATGTGCTTGACGGATTAAACACCTAAAATTATAAATATACTTATGTTCTTTGTTCTTATTGAAATCTTTTAGTAGACCCTGTCCCTGGGACATAATTATATATTGTTTACGACCCTTGTTTACAATCCTTGGCTTGCATTGGAGCCAACAATTATGAAGTATATTTATATTTAAACTAAACTATTTCAATTAAATTCAAAATATTTGCAAATGTGGCAACTCATTCAATGCGCCATCTACTGTTTCTCTACACGTATTTTACATTTTATAAATATTTAGGGTATTCCTTTGACTAAATGATTGAATTTCGAAATATTTTATATAATTAGTCGGATAGCAAAGGATTCAAAAACCACGATTAGAAAAGTAGCCGTCAAAAGCAGTGGTTTATAAGAAGTGTGTCTGACTAATTATAAAGAAAGTACAATTTGTATGGAGAACCTGTTTCAAGCTGCTCATATTTTCAGTCGTACAGAACCTAAACTTAAGGAATCCGCTTAAGCGAATGAAAAGCCCCTTTTCCTAAAGTACGCAGGAAATGTATATACATAATTAAAGAAGTATATTTAATATTCTTACCCAAAATTTCATAAAATCGCTCTTTGTAGCAGGCAGCAAATTGATGCAAGTTGGTTGACCGCAATCAAACTGACAGCTACGAAACTGCACCCGCTGGCTTTAAAATTTATTTAATCGCTCTCATCGGAGGAAATCTCCTGAGCAGGTTCCTCTTCATTTCCTTTATTAGCTTCCTGCACATCTTCCTCCTCGCTATCAGAGTTTTGCATGGGATTTGTTTTTAGACGAGCTATTAGCTCCTTGGCGGGATTGAAAATGCCATTTGTCTGCTGGGAGCATATAATGCAGCGTTGAGACTTTTTGTACTGGGCTAAGGCGCACTTTTCACAGAAATAGTGCTTACATCTATTAACAAAATGGGATAGTTATGAGAATATAATTAAAATCCTAATTGTTATCATAACTCACTTGGTCACCACAGGATTGACGAAACTCTGCCGGCATATGTGACATTTAAAAGGCAGAGATTCCTCATCCGAGTGAATCTCATATTTGCCATCGTCGCCATCAGAATCGGCATCACCCCGCCGCTCACTCTCGTGATCCATCTCGAGCTGCCAGCCAGCCTTGTAATCGCTGCGATCGTGCAGGAACTTACAGCTGTCGCCAAAGCCACAGTAGCCCGTTTCCTTGTAGTCTTTGCAGATATCCGGCTGATAGTCCCACCGCACAGTGGCCCGGAGGTGAGCAGGTGCCCTAATTGGTCCGCTTCGCACCATACCGGAACTGGCATTTCCCGCGGCAGTGTCTTGCTTCTTATAATATTGCGCGTAGTTGTTGATTCCGCGGTAAATCTTGTCGTCCGCCTTACCCTCGAGATCCTCGTTAATTTTTAAGGCCCGCGCATGGATGGCCTGGGCATCGCGGTCGAGTTCTGTGTCCATTTCGTTGATGGACGTGGCCCCCTGATCCTGCGGACCACTGGGCAGGGCCTCGCGCTTTGACTTGTAGGCCACTCCGAGTTTGTCGTCTTCGGAGGCAGATGACGATGCGTCTCCGTCGGGTGCTCCTGCCTGACGCTTCGCTTTGTTTAATGTCTTGGTGCTCTGAAAATTGGGATTGGTTCGCTTTCTGCGATTCTCCGCCCGGGCCATTGCGGTAGCTTTGCCCTGGGCCTCCTCATCACTGCTCTTTGCTGGTAAATGACTGAGATTTAGTTTCATTTATTTTTGGCGGTAAATTACGAGATTCACCTGAGTCATTGCTGCTGCTACTTTCCTTTTTGCGACGCATGGCAGCACCTTTGTTGATGTTTCGCTTCTTGAAGCCAAAGGCCGAGGTGCTGGCCGCTTCTTCCGACATGGTACAGCTTTTAATTAGATGTACTTGTTGTTAATTAAACTCAAAAACATTCACGTGCGCGATTTCGCAAATATTTTCGCAGTGCTTCTTCTTATTCGACCACTCCGATAACGATAAGAAATACCAAAAACGGTAAAATTTAATAGCAATCGATTTAAAAAATACTAGTAAAAAAGTTTTGGTATTTTTATTAACACTTTTCGATTATGAAATTATAAATAAAATTATAGAGTAGTTGATATTCTATTATGAGTCAATAACGTTGCGCGAAAACTTGGTTTTGAGATGCTAATTAGGTTTCATAAATTAATTTAATTGTGATATGTATTTTATAGTCCCATTCCAAAATACCAAAATAAATCAGATAGCTTTTAACACATTTTAATGTATTTTGGCGCTCAACATACGGTCACACTGCTGATTATCGCTTATTTTAGGAAACGTACGTAAAGTTTTTATATATTTTATACTCGATAAACTAATTCGAAAAATCTAACTTTCACAGCAAAACATGACGCTTGAACTGATTTCCACATCCAAGTGCTCCGAGGGTGAGCAGCGCGTGTATCGCCACCGCTCCAGTACCTTGGATTGCGAAATGACCTTTGGCGTCTTCCTGCCTCCGGCAGCTCTCGAAGAGAAGACATTGTGTCCGGTTCTCTTCTTCCTCAGCGGTCTGACCTGCACTCACGAGAACTTTATACAGAAGAGCGGCTTCCAGCAGCACGCCGCCCGGCACAATCTGATTGTGGTGAATCCAGATACCTCGCCGCGTGGTGTAAACATTGATGGTCAGGATGATGCATACGATTTTGGCACCGGAGCGGGATTTTATGTGGATGCCAAGCAAGAACCTTGGTCCAAGCACTACAAGATGTACAGCTATGTTACCCAAGAGCTGGTAGATGTGGTGAACGCCAATTTTCCCGTGGTACCGGGACGGCGCGGTATCTTTGGACACAGCATGGGCGGCCATGGAGCTTTGATTTGTGCCTTGAAGAACCCTGGCTTGTATCAATCAGTGTCGGCGTTTGCCCCGATTGCCAATCCCACTAATTGCCCTTGGGGTCAGAAGGCCCTTACCGGCTACATTGGACCGAATCCCGATGACTGGGCCCAGTGGGACGCTACTCTGCTGGTGTCTCACTACGAGAGCACGCCGCAGGAGCTCTTCATCGACCAGGGTGCGTCGGACAACTTCCTCGGGGCAAAGCAACTGCTCCCGGAAAATCTTTTGACCGCCGCCGACGGTAACGAACACATCCAAACCATCTTCAAACAGCGCGCCGGCTATGACCACAGCTACTTTTACATCGCCACCTTCATTGCGGAGCACATCGATTACCATGCCAAACTGCTAGCCGCCACATGAGTCCCGTTGGAGATTTGTGCCTCTGCTGCTTGTACTTTTCCATCGCTTTGTACTTTTGATAAGCCCTCGAATTCGGAAATAAATCAAAAGTACAGTCCGGTACAGTACCACTCGCCGCGTAGTTTGTCGAAATCAAAGGAAATGTATATTGCATATTAGTATGAGTCCAAAGCCAAATTCCATCTTCAACTATATACCAAATCGCAAACAAATGTTAAATGTTCTGACAAATTGTAAAGTAAATGATGTTTTTAGAACCAAACATTTTTGTAATTAGTTAACTTTGTTTTTTTATTTATGCAAAAATTGTGCTACAAGAATAATTTCCGTTAGTTGGGTTCAGTTAATGACTGTCGGAGTAAGGGCTTTGGGCACTACTGTATTCGATTATTATAGCATATAAAGCAGCGTACTGTCTATATATTTTACTTATTCAGATCAGTAAAATCAGCTTACGTTCAAAGTTTGCGTTATAATTGTAATGATTAACCCTACTAATTTCTAAATAAGTAAAAAATTCTTTTGCTATATTCAGTATGCTCTTCTATATCCTAATATTATTAATACTTGTATAAGGATGGATACTATCCGCGCAGCACTGTATCCTTAAAGAAGAATGAGTATGCGGGGTAAAAGCTCTAACCGTAGTAAAAGCTTCTCCGGCTACTGGTCCATGCCATGCTGGAAACTTTCCGCATCCTCGCCGATTGTCCTGGTATCTTGCGCTCGTTTCATTCATCAGTAGAACCAACGCCGTCAAATGGGACAGATGTGTTAGAGGCACAAAAGGGAACCCAACGGAGGCTCCAACGGCGGCGACATCCTCGAATCGTTTGGCGCCATATTTTCTGGGACCAATCGGAGTCGTTCACATCGTATTTACGTGACTGTGCTTGTGTGTGCGTGCGGGATTTGGTCCTGTTTGTTTGTGTAATTTCGCGCGCTTTTGTGTCGTCCTCCATCCGGACATCTTATCCCAACGGGTCGGAAAACCGGGCTCAAAAAGAGAAAAGGATTTAAAAGGCGTGAGATTTGCGGCCAACTGCTGGACGATTGCCAGCGGACTGAAATCTTAATTAGCCATTTAATGGCATTTGGCAGACAACAAAGGCCCATGGTAAGCGCTCAGCCATATGGCCAATACAAATCAATTAAAGAGCTCCGCCGGATCTCTTCGGTGAATGTCAACCATTCTTCAGGTGTGGTATTGGAGCCTCTTTTCCTTAGTTTACGAGCAGCGAACGAGATGTTTTATGGCCGCTGTTTTACTGCATTCTGGCATTTTTACACTTCCATCAGCACTTCATTTTTCACAGTTTAGAGTTAAGTTCACGCTCCGTATCGCCTCACAACCCAATCACCATCCATCAACTTAGCCGATACGGGTCCTGGACTTTAAAGTTTAAGCCCATTTAAAGTATTTAAGCCTTGTTTTCACAGGTCATCATTTGCATATTATGATTTAGCTATTGAATTTTATGGTTTTATTGTGAAATAGGACTTTGGAAAGTGCTTTGGGTGTCTTCTTGGAATTGTTATTCTCCGCATTATAAATGGTCTTTTATTACTCTTTTAAAAATCCCTCTTACTTGGGAATTTTTTGTGAAAGAAAAACTTTGTGATTCTGTTTGGTTTCTCATTACCAAAGCTTCATTTAAATTTTTTCAAATTAATGAAAGAATGGGGACAGAATCCACCCTGAACAGGATCTCACAGAAAAGGTTGTTTTCTCCACACTTTACAAGCAATTTCATTTAAATTGCGACGGAAAATTGTCACGTAATAATTTAGGAAGCTTTAGCTTCTATCTGATTCTACATTTATTTTTGAAATTAACTGCAAATAGGATTTTAATATATAACGTGAAATTCAGATTGTCTTTTTCCTGAAATTATCTTTGGAAGCATAATAAAAACCAAATGCTCATGCTGGTCTCTCCTATGCGAGAATTTGCATTAAATAACAATATTCTACATTTGCCACACTCATAAAAATGTAAACTTAAGCAAAGTGCAGTTTTGTGCTGTCATAAAACAGCTTCTCATCCTCTATTATAAAACGTTTCTAGTTAAATCTTTTATGAGCATCTTTTCCATCCGCCAGGCACTTTTTATTTAAAGTGGAAACACGTTTCGTTATGATAAATTCATAAAACTTCAAGCATATTTCCATTAAAATATTGCCTCTCGGTGCTTAATACTCTGGAATCGTTTTCTATTTTTATGTGGGAAAGCCTTCTAAGCCACTGAAGACGTCCTTGCAATTCGAATAAGAACTGCTGCCAAGCAAGTGAAGCTGAGACTTATGGCTAAAGCCGTTTTGATGGGCGTTTGTGGCCCACACATGTGCAATTAATAAAAACATCTTGCACGGAAAGTTTTCCCCAGTCTAATTACAGGTGAGTCTTTTCGACCAACTTCCCAAATCCCCTTTGGATCAACATATTGAGTACTGAAGTAGCAAAATGCAAAAGGTAAAGGTAAATAAAGGTGTGCGCCTTTGCAGTAAAAGGGGGGCGAACGGATTTGTTACCTGAAGGTGAGATTCCAATAAAGAAAGCAGAAAATCAATAAAATCCAAAATAAGAAAAGTGAGAGGCGAAGAACGTTGTCATCAACGCTGCCTTGCCATTTATTTGCGAAACTAATTTAAGTTCAGAGGAATATTGTTCATTCGAAGAGTAATATCCGTTTATTTGTTAAACTCGGGAGGAATAATGGTGAACTTTCTTCATTCGAAGCCTTTGAAGTTGGAATAAAATTTGATGAAGGACAAGAAACCTCTGAGGAACGGTGGTATGCCTTAAATTATATTGAATTCAGTTTATCAGTTTAAAATTGTGTGTACATCATTGGTATTCTAAAACTGACTTGAAAGGCGCAGCAACCTTTTATTCAATAAAAATGGTGTCGACACAGTAAAAATAAAACCCATTTAAAAACAAAGCATCCATTAGCACATCAACTAACTTGTTGTACATACAGTACCTGCAACCGAAATCACACACACAGTACGTGCTGATTATGGGGTGGACCAGAGTCACATGAATATATGTATTTTTATTGTATTATATTTTACCCGAACTTTTACGATTGTGGGGTAATAAGTCATATACAGTTTTATGCTTATATTTATTATTATGGTTATTACAAAATATTTAAGTGTAATAAAGAGACTATATAATACTAAGAGTCCAGTTTTTCATTCACTGTTAAAGTCTCTGATAACTTTCGGACCGAAACACTTAAACAACAGATAAACCTGTCGTTAAAGCATAAGTGCCTTCTTTAATTTATCCAAACGAGAAAGGTAAACTAAAAAAAAAAATGTTTTAAAGACAGTTCATTTTATATATCCGGTTATCTGAAATTATCTGAAATATGATATTATTTTACCGAACCGGGAATTTATCTGTTTACCAAATTTAAACAGTGAGGATAAAAATAATTATATTTTTTATATCCAGAAATATTTTCACAACTTCTTAAATATCGATATATATATATATATAATCAAAGAAAAACAACCGAAATTTAAATTCTAGGTTAGCAGTATTTTATGGATTCTTTATATATAATATATATATTATATATAATATTGGATTTACATTGTAAAATTTAAAGAAAGTCCATCCCTAGTAAGCACACACTCAACGCAAATATGTGTGCTTGTGAGTACTTTAAAAGATCGGGGAATTGGGAGGAAGGAGTTGGGAGGATGAAATTTTGAAGGATGGAATTGGTTTTCCATTCACATCGGACGGGGGTGTGAGTGTTTCTGACCTGACTGACAATTAGGCCAATCATGAGGAATCACTTGCCACGACAAACGCCAACGTCACGTGCATACACACATACACACTTGCTCATATATATACAAATTGATGTATTGTTTTTTGGGCGCCGAGTGCCCCATCAGGAGCCACCAGGGAGCTCCTCTGACAATGCTGAGCGAGAAGAAGGATCCCATAGACGACAGCCACTCGGTGCAGGCCACGCAAATTCAATGGAGAATGTGCGCCATCCAAATAATTTAGACAATGGCACTCGTGCGCACACGCCATGCCCAGGAAACAGGATGTGGCGTACACAACACACAGCAAACACACACACACACACACACACACCCATACGGAGACCGTCAAAACATATACATAAACATACCCAAAAGACAGACAAAAGCCTGACAAAACAGAGGCGACAATTTTAGTGCTATTTTCGGTCATCACTTGGCTTTCGAGGAGGTCAGAACCGGGAACGGAACCTATTGGGACTTGGCATGGAAGCTATCACTCCGGTCCTCTTTGCTTCCTATCCGCATCCTCCTGCTCATCATGTCATCCTCCAGTTCCCCAAACTCCTATTATTTCCCATTTGCCGCTCGTGTGTATCTGCCGTCCAGCATATGTTGTCACTTAGACTGTGGTCTCCTTGCTCTGGCTTCTGTCCCAGCAGCTGCAGCTACACTTAGGGAAAAATCCTGGTTGAAATTCTAATTGTGTCATCATTTCTCCCACTAAATAATACATTTTGAAAAGACTCACTTCAGTGTCTGTTACCAATAGAAAGCTTTCTTTTAGTGTAATAAAACACAGAGAAATACAAAGCACACAAACAGCAGAACGGAAAAAGTCCTATTATTATTTGTTTGCCACCTTTCTTGAAAACTGATGGCGAATCCATCTTTTCTGGGCGCAAGGAAAGGAATTGCTCTTTTCCGACGTAATTGAGTTTTCTCGCAGGACGTGCGTGAAATGTTCAAAACTGATCCAGTAAAAACTTTTTCTTATAACCAAATTTTACGCCCCCCAACAAGAATATGCAAAATATGAGTATTTTAATTGGAATAACTTCATGGCTACAACATATTGTGATGCGTGGGAGTCGATAAATTGCATTAGACCAGGGAAATTGCCCAACAGAAAAGTTAGACAGACAAAATTTTGCCTCTCGATTGGCAGGAGTCTAATAGCTCAGCCCCAAATGGTTGGTTTCTAAGTGAGTGATGAGATATATGTAGTACACAGATTAGCCAAGGCAGGACTCGAAGGACTCCCGGCTTAACTTTATCAGCTATTTAGACAAAACAACAAAAACTTGTCCTGATTGATGACGCTTTATGAGAGAAGTTGCCTGCGGAAGTGACAGTGTGTATCTGCCGATGGCGTTTCAGTAAATTAATTTACATTTTGTGATATTAATAGAGGAGCACTTTTATCTCATTTAATTATCTGTTGTTGGAATTAAATGTAATTGCAGAACAAATAAGGTAATTACAGTGATATTACTCATTTAAATCTGAGTGGCGAAAACTGAACGCATTAAAAGCTTTATGTGCGTTTTCGTAATTACTATTTGCCCATTTAAATATTTACTAATGAAAATTGTAATTAACAATTCAACACCAATTTCTTTTCCACTTTGTTTGCTAATTGTTTCACGAGAAAACTTATCCCTTAACAGCATCTTAAATAACACCTTAACTATCAGATCACACTTTTCGTAGTCGCACTTAGTCTTAACAGCTTTCCCAAAGTTTTAATTAAGTTAGAAAAACACTTTGCATCCGCAACAAAGCAAAACCAATTTACGCTGAGCTCAGATTTTCACAGAAAATTCATCGTTGGCAAGTTTTACTGTGCTCGCTTTGCCAAGGCAAATAGCAAAGCTCATTTGGCCCAAACCGCCCCCTTGACCTGGTCCCCAAGCGCCTTAAATGGAGCAGACTAACTAGAGAAATGCATCAGGCATAACCGCACGGCCTCCACCTTTAACCTCCTGTCACACGGCAGGAGGCAATGCAATTTCCAAATTGCTTTCTCTGAGCTGGGAAACAATTCGTGCCTTGGGTGTGTGTGTGTGTGTAAATGTGTATAAATTGGCCAGACCCCCTTCTATCCCACATTTTTACCCACACACACTCCCATTCACCTTTTGCTGCTAAAGCTCCTTACACTAATTACACAAATTGAACTCAATTTATTGTTGCCATGGGAGTAAAACTCAATGGCTGCTCCTGATGTTGCCCGAGGTGACACGCTCCAAGTGGCAGCAATTTGGTTAATATTAAATAAGTACATGCATATTAATTATATGCATAATTACACGAACAGACGCGGGTAGCCCTCCTGTTTGGGTGTTGGCTGTAATTAAAACAAGCTGACATTGCGTATACGTAACGTGACTAGCAGCTAAGCTAGCGTGTTCCCAGAATTTCATACTTAAGAACGAATAAAAGGTTAATTATGAACAAATATCATTTAATTAAGCACAAAACTAGCAAAAAATGATTTTTAAATAAGCTACAAGTTAAGTTATTTCATTTTTTATAAATATTACGTATACGAAACGTTGCCAGTTCCTGAACAAAACATTTTAAATGATCTAAATGGATAATTTAATTATTATATTTAGACTTTAATTTAAATATTCTTGTTGATATGACAGATTATATAAAAACCTTTCAGATTTCAAGCTTTGCTTGTAATTATAGAAAACCAGAACACGTCTTATGACTTATTTCCGCTTCCTGCAGCTTGTGGATTTCCGTTTCCTCTGTGTTTGTGCGATTACTGATTTCTGCTTCATACACAAGTTGATTATGCTTCTGACAGAGTCATTAACAATTTGCTGGTCTGGATTTACTCTGATTTTATTTGCATCTCCTTCATTTTTCTCCTCTTAGCTATTTTTCCGGCAACAAGAGCAGCAACAGCAGAAGCAGGAGCAGGAACTGTGTAGCATAACCAAAAGCCGATCAGGAGACCATTCAGCTTTGAGTGTTTTATGGACCCAGGAGTGACGGCAACAAGCAACTAGCAACGAGCCATAACAACATCGACATCAGCTTAGGGGCAAGCAGGAAGTATCAACACGAGCTGAGGAAACAAAGCAATCTATAAAGATGGCCGGCGGGGGCAGGACAGCCGGCAAATACGGTTATTCGGACAACAATTATTACAGTAGTGAGTACATAAAGACAACGCGAAACACTGATGAAGAAATCTAGAAAATAATGTAGTTATTTAATACAGCTTTAAGGTATTATGGGTGCATATAATACAACTATTTTCTGCTTAAGAATTTATATGATAAATTATAACTGCCCCATTATATATTTTTAATTAATTCATAGCTTGATCGTTTATTTAATTTAATTTTTAATTCTGAATTCTAAATTAAATTTATTTTTAAATAAGAATTTCTAATAGACTAGGGAGATATGAGTATTTTTTATTACAATTATTCAAATGGGTTAACCTAGACTTGATATCATTGTTTTTTTTTATAGCTTAGAGCCTTAAAATATTTCTTTAATTTTAAAGGCTCATAGAAAGATATATTTAGAAGGGAAAAATAACTGCGATGCATTTTATTTTAACACAGATTTAGGTACCGGAAATCTCAAAATCGAATGCGTGTTATTGATATTTGTTTATAAATAAATTATTACATTCATTCGCACCGCCGGGCACACTTTAGTTGTGCTCAAAATGATAAAAATGATATTTATTGAGATTATTACTGGTTCATGAATAAATGACAAGCCTCATTGTTATTTCATCCCTAACCACTGTACACATCCTTACAGTTTTTTGGTTTGGGTGGCTCGGCTCGGGTGGGCCATTGTCCGCTCTGTCGCCCATTTGGCGGGCTTAGGTTGCCGAAGTCGCTCCTCCTGCTTCCCGTAGGACTGGCGTCGTCCTGCCGTCCTTGCCTCGGGTGGAGTATGGGGGGATGCTGGATACTGGATGCTGAATGTTCGGGATTGTTGATGAAGTCCTGCCGCATGCCTCACCGTAATCAGTGTTGAAAAGCGTGTTTTTATTGGTGTCCTGATTACGTATGTATGTTCCGCGCATTTTTGCTCCGCCTGTCTGAGTTTTTATTACATTTATTTCGTTGGCATTTCTTGTACCCAAGGCAGTTGCCTTGAATAAGTGTGCACGTGTGTTCCTACATTATTTGTTTATGCGTATGTCAGCTGGGGATTTGTGTGTGCGATTTCTGGGCCGGTACTTTGGTACTCAACATATCATTCACTTGGGAAAGCATTATATTATTCAGTCGCACGAAGTAATAACGTTTGGCTTGATTTTCACTCCGGTGAATGATCTCAGGTACAGGAACTGGCTGAAGCGAAATGAGCGAGGGACTTCTTGCTGTGTTTGCATAAAGTTTTTGTTTTCCCTCTGTCCCAAAATGTCTGTTAAGTGAGTTCGAACGCCCTTATAAATAAAGACCACCCGCAGGCTAGATTTCCTCCCTATATTCTCCGAATGGGCTTTTCTTCTTTTGAGTGAATAAGTTTTCTACTTCTATTTATTATAACCACAAATTGAGCATTATGAATTTATTGGTCATCAAACAAAAGTCTAACTTCCTTATGGTTATTTTATAACCTAGAACTGACAAAAAAAAGACACATTTTGTTAGGAACAATATAGATGATAATATTATTTGCATTGATTTTCGTTTTATTTGGATTTCCTTGAAAATCAATCAAATTGCTTGACTGGACACCGTTGTCCTTATTAAGGTTTTAAACTTGACAGGTTTTTTAATGGGTGTTTTTTTAAATCCTTTTATCTGCAGTTAAGTTCCAAGTGTGTGATACCTTTTAAACATTCAAATAAAACCCACCGAATAGTACACAGAATATTTAAATTACTTTATATTTCCATTTTACTACATATATACTACCTGAATATTATTATACACTTCTATATATATTTATTTGTTCAATTGGCCCATTTGGGAAAATTCTTGGTACCCGGATAAATAATTTTTGTCCAGACGCTTCCGGTGAATATCAAACACCAAAAGGACCAAAAGGTTGGCAAAATTCCAGCTAAAGCCATATATTTTGTCTTCATTCCCGAATAACCGGCTATGATTGCATTCGGTGGAGTGCTCACTGGCAGATGGAAGGCCAAACTGAGGGCCAAAGCTGACGGGAATGTCAATTTCAAGGGATGCACTTTGATGGCCAAGGCCTAAATAATTAAGATAAGGAATATTACTATCAAAAATAGCGAAGAAGCGCTTGGACGGAAATATTACCTTCTCAAAATGATATATGATAATTTTAACACAAATAAAAAGCTTACCATTTCGAAAAAGATCGGTATGAGAATATTGCAAATGGCCACGTTAGAGGCAAAGGCTGTGCAGATCAAAGAGATCAAAACGCACATTCCCACTACCAGTACTTCGTTCATTTTTGAGGCAAAAGACAGCGAGTCTCCCAGCATTTTGGCCATTCCACTTACCCGGCTGCCCTCGGCCAAGGCAAATCCTCCACCTGTTTCAATCGAACTTTTCTTCTTGATATTTGTAAATACATCAGGAATGAACTCTTACCCAAAAGAAAGCAAAGACCGAAAGGCGTATTCTTGAGGCAATAGACCCAAGAGAGACAGGAATCCAACGTCTGCCCGGGAAAGGGAGCCTTGCCGCAGCAGTACTTGAAGAAGGTGTACTGAGTTGGTAGGGCGAAGAGCAAAAGCACTGAAAAAAATACCGGTGGTCCACTCTTAATTTTCCTGGCAATAAATGAAAAAAGGTACTTGATCCGCTCGCAGCTCAAAATGGCTGAGAAAAGCTCACTTTGCATTCAGGAAGTCACCCCAGCCCTTAATGAAGCCCGGATTTCGCGTGAATAGCAGGATAATCATCAATATGAACACTAAGGTCACCTGGATCTCGTGACAGGTCATGGGACCAAGTTCGGCTTTTCGCTCCTTTATCACAGCCTTGACGACATCCTTATTCTCGGCACCCCTCTTGATCTCCATTCCCACCTGGCTCTTCGGCCGAAACAGACCCATATGGGTGATTTGCAGTGAAATATAGGTTAAAAGGATGATCACGATCGCAAAGGGTGTGCCATAAGCCATGAATATCGGAAAGTCCAGTGTCTCAACAGAATTTGGGAACCTCCTGCAGGTGGACTTTGGTGAATTACCAAAACCATCGACATTCGCAATCCCAACTTACGTATCATACAATCCCTTGAAGGTAAGGTTTGTTCCTGTTCCTATCAAGGTCCCACAGCCTCCAATCGAAGAGGCATATGCGATTCCAAAATAAAAGGACATTGCAATGGTCGATGGGTGTGGAGAACTGTCGAAAAATTTGGATTAAATAAAAAAGATTCTTCTATGGATTTATTGGATACTTACCTTCCTTCCTCCATTGGCTCTTCTTCCTGGGTTTTATAAATGGTAAACACATTTTGCTGCATAATAAAAATAAATTGAATAACGGGCATCATTATAAGTAATTGCTTACCGCTTCCATTTCGAGAAGAACTGCTTTAACTATAGGACACATCATGGCCGTAGCCGCCGAATTCGAGATCCACATAGATATAAAGCAAGTCACTATGACCAAGCCAAAGTGAAGACTGTGAAAGGGATCTTAGTTCTAAGCTAAAGAGAAGACTAAGACTTACCGCCTTGGACTACAGCCCACTATTAGAATAGTCACCAGAGCGATTCTCTGATTAAGATTGCTGTATTCGATGGCCAAAGCGATCAGTAGGCCACCCAGAAACATAACCACAGTGTCACTGAAGTAAAAGGGGCAAACGGTCTCCGAGGGCTTTACAAATCGTACAAATAAACCTAGATAATATAAGCCTGTACACATCTATAAACATGCATACCAAAATACCAAATATTGGCAGAAAAACCACCGGAAACAGAGCAGTAACATAAAGGGGTATAGCCTCGGTGATCCAATACAGTGCCATAACCATCACAAGGAACATGCACTTGTAGGCCTGCAAGATTGTAGTAAACCCTTAAAGGCTGACTTTAAAAAATAATAATTCTTACCGGATTGTTGTCATGATATCCATATATTAGTACAGGCAATAGAAAAAGAGGTATGAGAATGGTCGCCTTACCCCTCCAATGGAAACTACAACATCGCTTTATCGCCTGGCCCCCTCCAATTTTGTTTTCCCTACAATTGGAATTCGAATAATCAAATTTGTTATTCCTTTGTATTTTTTATTGCAATCTTACTCTTCCATTTTGTTTGACTTCTATGAATATATGATGTGAATAAATGAATATGCAAAGCTCACTTGTCGTTATTAAAACAATACCGGGTCGAAGGAAAACAAATATTTACCAAAATCAACGATATATGGAAAACAAAAAGTGTTACATTTATTCAATTTCTTTTCGTCACTTGTCACACGACACTTCAGTTTTCAAAATAAATATTTAATGATTTGGTGGTCATATAATAACTCCCCTTAGTCAGCAGGACTCCAAGATAACATCAGAGTGAGCCACAACAAATCTCAGCCCGACTTTAAGAAATGTAAAAAATTGAATGTATATATATTACCATAATTGCAAATTATTTTTAAAACTCACATTACTCGTATTATATGATGCATCAGCCCATGCTGGATATTCCGTGAGGTCCTTAAAGATTAACTTCCCATATGTGTTTGAGTTAAGTATGATTATAGCATATCCAATAATGCTGGGCACTATACCCGACAAGGCCTTAAAAGAAACATTTCAGTTAAATCGAATCGATTAAGTATCCAGAAACGATCCACTCACCAGATACTTGGTCTTGATATTTGCATATTGAGTAACCATGGCATTGGGGGGTGTGCTCACTGGCAAAAAGTAACACATACTGATGGCCACGGTACAGGGCAGTGTGAGGTATAAAGGATGGATTCTTACCACGATAGCCTGTGGGCAGAGCCAGGAAATGTAGTTATTTGAAGAATTCGTTAATTCTCTTTTTATATCTCACCATTTCACATAAGATCGGTACTAAAATGTTCGCAACGACCACATTCGAGTTAACAGCGGAGAACGACATGGCTAAAACTATCATGATCATCTGTATTGCAAACGCCGGCAGTGGGCTAAAAACTTTCAACGACTCGGCTACCATTTTATTCACCCCAGACTTCTGACTTGCCTCAGCCAATGCGAATCCTCCACCTGAAAAAAGGAGTACATTTTAGAACCATCCTGAGAAAAGTGGCTAAATAAACATACCCAATAAAAAGCAGAGACCCCAAGGTACATTTTCATGTACGAATCGCCAAGCAAGTAAGGAATCTAACCGCTGGGCTGGAAATGGTGCTAAAAGTAGAGAGATCTAGAACCCTCTAGACTTGCTAAAGATATTGAAATATTTACCTTTGCCACAACAGTACTTAAAGAACACATATTGAGTGGGTAAGGCAAAAAGCAGCAGTATAATTAAAATTACTGCTGCGGAGCCCCTCACTTGCCTAAAGTAAAATACAAGTAATTACTTTGACTACTCGAAAAGATATTAAGAAGTAGGTGAAAATCCATTTGATGGATACCAAACCATATTTTCATCGATAAATAAATTAAATAATTCGAAACTCATTTAAAACTCACTTTGCATTGACTAACGTATCCCAACCTTGAAAGAACCCGGGCCTGCGGGTAATGAGAAGAACGATCATCACAACGAATATAATGGCTACCTGGATCTCGTGACAGGACATGGGTCCCAAAGCTACATGACGCTGCCGCATGACCTCTTCCACTAATTTCCTGTTCTCATTGGCTTTCTTTACGGCCTGTCCCGTTTTGCTATTGGGTCGAAACAGACCCATATGTGTGATCAGAAAGCTAAAGTAGACAAGTACAGCATTTACGATGCACACTAAGGGAAGCGAGTATAGCATAAAGTTGGTAAATGTGATCTCGACGTCGGCTTGGGGAAAGCGCCTGTGGGAAAATGGTATACAGAAGAACATTAATTATGATAATTTACTGGAAGTAAGAAGTAAAATCAACCAAATAATACAAATTTCTAACATCAACAGAGGAATTCAAGCAATTCATTTCTTACTGATTGTAAATGCCTCTAAAAACAAGATTCGTGCCAGTGCCAATCAGAGTTCCAACACCGCCAATCGCCGAACAATAGGCTACACCTATATAGAAGATCATTGCCAAGCTGCTTAGATGTGGACCCCTATAAAAGATCAAAGGCAATATAACTGGTTCATCGCATTATAATTCTTTCTACTCACTCGCCCTCCGGCATGGGTTCTTCCTCCTGTGTCATATAAACCGGAAATACATCATTCTGCAAGGAAATCAAAAATCAAGGATAAAAAAATAGTTCTGATTTATAAACTTACCACGTCCATTTCATTCATTACGGCCTTGACTATGGGACACATCATGGCCGTGCCTGCCGAGTTTGAAATCCACAGGCCTGCAAAAACAGTGACTAGCAAAATACCCGCCAGCAAGCTGAAATGCATTATGATTATATGTTTATAGTAATTATATTATATTATTATAGATAGTACTCACCGCCTCGGACTTCCGCCTACAATTCGAATTACTCGCAGGGCGATGCGACTATGAAGGTTACAATACTCGATTGCCAGGGCCACAATTAGACCACCTAGAAACATGACAACTGTGTCGGAGAAGTACTTGGCGCACACCACTTCAGGGGGCTAGAAAGCATCATATACAAAAAAGTCAATGAAATGTGTTTAAATGAAATCAAAGTGCAGCACACTTACAACAAGACCAAACATGGGGAGGTATGGAACAGGTAGCAATGAAGTAACATAGATGGGAATGGCCTCAGTGATCCACAGGAGAGCCATGGTAGCAATCAGGTACAAGCATTTGAGCTCCTACGAAGCATACGATTAAGAATACTATATCTACATTAATGTCCTGTACTTACACTCCTGTCGTCCCGAATTCCCAGCACAAGGATCGGAGATGTAACGATCGGTATGATCACGGTTAGCTTTCCCTTCCAGTGGAACTTGCAACATTCGCGGGCGGCAAACCCCTTGGGCCTACAACAGGGAAAGATGAATTATTAATACTGATCTGAAACCTATATCCGGAAGTTTTGTAACAAACGGCTTGGATTCTTCCATATTGAGTCCACTGGAAGATATGGCCTAAGTTTTTGTGTTAAAATTGAATTGATAGGTACCAGGATTCGTCATAAATATAAAAAATAAACAAAATTTTGAGTTTTGGCGCAGCAGGCACTATGTTATGAAAGAAACACATATATCTATATCCATGCTAGATTTCAATTTAATGTTGGTCTTTGATGTCGCTTAATTGATAATTTCCTGTGCCATCAAGACCCACAATAATGGGAGGTCAAATTGAAATTTGAGAAAAGAACACTCAGAGAAATTTTTTTTATTATTTCTCTCCGCTTATTTATTCTTATATCAAACTTACCATAACACACATAAGATTTAGATTTATTGACCAAACTTGTGGTCCTTTCTCATTGTGTACCATAAAAGTATAAAAAGGAAATACATTCTAGCTGGAGAAAGCGAGGGGTCTTGCTCCAATCTGGCTCAAATTAAATTCCTCAATGTTGGCCAAATCCTTGTGGCCACAAAACATTTCCAAAGATGTCAGACACAGGACAACGCACACTCTCGTACACTTTTGGCAGCGGATATTACATAACAATGTCTGAGAGTAAGGGACCATTGTTCCATCCTTGGTGTTCTTTTCGGGTTCGGCTATTCACATAATCTGTCAAATGACTTTATTGACTGTATTTTCGGTAGAGAAGAAAACAATAAATGAAATTTAATATATATCTATCTGCAAACGGGACATGTGTCCTTGGCTGGCATCCCCGAAAAAATGTGTTGGGCTCATCCACTCGTGAACCTTAATAATTTACGCTCAGTTTAGCTCGGTCCATGCCCATGGGCTCCAACAGTTCCCATTTCGGATTTCAATTTGTGACACAGGCGTTCGTTTCTTGCATTCGTTTTTGCATATTTCACGCTTTCATAATTTACGTTTTGACAGTCTGAACTTTATCAGGCATCCTGGGATAGGCATCTCTATAAATTATTATTTCATGCTCAGCATTTCCGACCAGAAATTTCACATTCGCTCGGCCATTCGCCCACAAATAACGGCAAAGTTTTATTGCGCTTTTGATGTTTTAAGAAATTTGTGATCATGAACGAAAATGTATGATTTACATTTTATATATATACAGAAAAAGACAAACAGTTTCCCAAGAAGCTCGGGCTACAAAACTTTGACCGCATTGAAAACTTTTTCTCAAATACTCTACCATGCTAATGTTAGCTCTCTTTAAATGTCTATTATGGCATATCCTATTTCCTCTTTTCTTTTACACTTTTTTTACTTAAAGTTTGTACTTTTCTGAATTAAAGTCATTAAACTTCATTTATTCCCAGGAAGTGGTTATTTTATACTCTTAAAGCTTGTATTATACAATTCGTTAGTAGATTGCAACATAGGACTACTAAAGTATATATATTGATAAAGTATCTAAAACCGAATCGTTCTAACCATATACATATGTAGATTTTGTTGATTTTTCATTTAAAAATAATATAAATGAGCAAAAGTGTTTTATGTTTTTTTTATGAAGGGAAACTCTATAGATAAAAAATGAGAAATTTTCAACCATGTATGGGTGAAAAATGACATCTATTGTGATTTAACGCTTATAAATTTATTAAATTTCTATTTAAATCGATGTTTTTTACAAAAATTTCATATATAACTTATGTAAGATGTTATTTACTAAGCTTAAATTAAAAAATAAGGTAAAGAAGCTTCGACTTCCCTGTTATAGTTATTTTCCTTTTTATATATTTTTCAACTTTGAATATGAATGAAATATGGACGTCTTTTACGTTTTTGTTGCATATCAGTAAGTTCCTTATAATTCTCATTAATTCCTTCCTCTTAAAGTAGAAAAGTAGAAAAGTATAACAAGTTAAAACTAGTTTGCGTAGAAACGGACAGACGGACAGACGGACATGGCTAGATCGACTCGGCTGTTGGTCCTGATCAAGAATATATATACTTTATATAGTCGGACGTGCCTCCTTCACTGCGTTGCAAACTTCTGACTGAAATTATAATACCCTGCAAGGGTATAATGAGAGTAATTATTTATTAATTGACTTTTGCTAAGAGTTAGACTGTAAACTGTACAACAAATAAACAGTGTACTATAACAATTATTTTATATTCCTAATTTAGTAAATTTGTATTATACTAATATTAAGCATTACTCTAAACCTAACTAAGTTTATTTATGTAAATCAAAATCTATCTACATTAATATGTTCTATAGATCTAAAAGTGTAAATTTGAAGAAGATATTTAACACTTAATTTCCTGCATTCGTTTCGAGTTTAATGGCCTGTACAGCAGGTGGAAACCAATCAAAATGATTGCCTATTTATCTGGGCCCAGTGACCATAAACCATGAGGAACACTCAACGCCTCGAAGCCGGCAATCAAACACATTAAACGTACAAACACACTCATGCTAAACATTATATGCTACTATATATACAATATATGTGTACATATGATATAGAAAGGCAGATTTATGGGGAAACATCACTTGGGGCCATGGGCCATTTGGCTTTGAGCCCTGGTAATGCGAACCTTCTAATTAACAAATCTGCGGCGGCGGCGTCGCTTTGGCTGCCTGTAAACAAGATTTTAATTCGTTTGATGTGTGTCGAGCATTAAATGTCGAGGGAATGCTCCATCGATTATGTGTTAAATTACCCATACAGCAAACATCTGGCCTAAATGGGCACGAACAATGAGAGCCTATTTGCCAAAAGTCAGGAGAGTGGAAATGGATTTGGTTACGCCAAATTGAATTTCTGACGACCACGATTTGTATAAATGTTTTAAATTAGTGCAAAGCCTGTTTATACATAATTACAGTTTATTTTATGTGCCTCTATACCTAATGAACTGCTACATTTATGCATAAATGCAATAGAATTCTTTGAAAATATCATTTGATTCAGTCTGTAAAACGCAAAATTTTGGCGAACTTAAATTCAATTTGTAAATTCGTCAATTATACATTATTTTTAATATTATATATATATATATTTAAATATTAAATGTACTTCTTGTTTCCTTTGATATAATTTTTATTCTTTAAAAATTTATATAAAGACAAGACAGAGAATTTGGTTTGCAGATAGAAATATATATTCCTTTTGGTAATAATTGGCTTTTTGGTTTCGTACACCTGCAAGAAAACCTTTAATATCCTTGTCATATAAAATAATTAAGTTATATTAAATAATTAAGTTATGTATGCATAACACACATTGCTGTATCACTTTAAATCAAAATGAAATAATGGGGCATTAATTGGGAGAATTAATTGACAAATAATCGCATTGCCAGCACAGCTGATTCTAGGCCTGAGGCCTATAGCATCTATATACATGGTAAATTTGTCATTGGTAAGACTTACCGCAGGAGAGGAGAAATAGTTATCCTTCTTCGTCATAGCCTAATTCCTTTTAGCGGAGAGTTATATTCTTGGTAACTCCAATTAGGATTTTTATGGCATCATCGAAGAAATCTTCTTCTTGGTTACGCAGATGCATTACATTAGGCAGGTGATATTTTTGGGGTCGAAGGACAATCTTTATTACTACCAACGTGACTATAGATGTGATCAGTATAAAGGCCGCGGACTGAATGTGGTCAGTGCGACGGCAGTGCCTGTATTTATAGTATCCGAGTAAAGAGAAAGACAGAGAAAGTAAGAGCGAGAGTGCGAGAGAGCACTAGAAAGGCAGAGAGAGATAGAGAGAATGTGATATCTCAAGAGATATATAGAAAATATAGAGAGAAAGAGAGAGAGACATATATACAAGGAGAGAGATATATATAAAAAAAGATAGATCAAAATAAAGAGCAAGAGATATAGAAAGAGACAGAGAAGGAGAAAGTTATTCACTGCAATTACAAGGAAGTAACGCGTACTTTATTTACGTTCAATGATAAAAATTAAATTTTTTTTTGTTTTTTCATTTAGCAATTTCCTATAAATTTAAAACTAAAAATTCAATACTATACAAATTGGCTTTATCTTATTAAAAATTCTCCGATTGCTCCTATGGAAGATATAAAAGGTAGTCCTTCGATTTCGCCCCATTCCGACTTATATGCTATACAAATAATATATATCAGTTTCATTTAGATAATTTTAGATTTTAAACTCTCCTGACTCCTTCACTGCATTTCAAATAACTGACTAAAATTATTATACCGTGCCAGGATATCAAATAATAAGTTCTTGTAAAAATATTCAATTTTATTGAATTGTTTATGCTTAATATTTGTATAAAAATGTTAATCCTTTAAGATTTGACTTCCTGACATGTTGACAAATAACTAAACCTATAGATTATTTAAATACAAAGCCCATAAATCAAATTTACCTACCAATATGTGTACAATTGTGTGCATAATATGGCCGCCACATAAATTTTATTTCGTTGATAATTGCATTAATAATACAAATATATGTATGGAGATAATAAAATATTGAAACAGCTGGTGTTGTACAAAAGCGAATTGCAAATCCAATTTTCATTTTATTTTTTTGTTTATTGCGTATATCTTTTATGTCTTTTTCTCACCCGCTGCGTTGCGTGGGTTGTCATCCAGATTGCTTCTGGCATATGGCCATCGTTTATTTTTACAACAATGCATTTGTCATGGTCCAGCTTCATTTTGGTTTTGCTATTTTTTATGCCTTTTTTTTTTGTATTGTTTGAATATGCATGGATGGAGTCCTGGAAAACCGAAATGTTGATCGGCAACAGCAGGGAGCCCACAGGCAAAAACTTTTGCATGCAACCCACTCACAACTTCCACCAACTTTCCACCTGGCAAGAATAATTGCCTGTAATTTGTCACATCGGCCTCTAAATCTTGTTTGTGCTTGTTTTTCCGCCTCTCCTTGCAGGTCACTCGTACAAGAGCATCAACGATGAGATTATCCTGGTCAGCATCATCATGGGGATTACCATACTGGTTCTTATTACCATCGCCCTGTGCTACATTGCGTATGAGAAATGCCAGAAGAAGCGGGAATATTACATCAACGCCTAAGGGTTTTCCGGACCGTATCCGTTCTTTTATTCCGTTATTTCGCGTTCTTTGTTTCCCATCTGCAGCGGTGGCCCTCTGCAAGGCTAAATGTCAACACGGTCTGCGACAATGTTGACGTTGACGATTTAGTTGGCCAACAAAAATAGCCCGGAGTGGCTGCATCCGCCCCACACACCCCACTTACACATCCGACGCACATACAAGGGCACGTACACAAATCGGAAGGCAGAGGAGGAATTGGTGCTGTTTAAACGATTCTCCATTTTTCTGTTGGTTCACCCACAAGCTGCTGCTGCACTTGCAGCACTTTCTCAAGTGACAGCGGAAGCATGGCTTTATCGCCGGGCCGCTGTGCACAGTGGGCGACTTCCGCCACTTGACATTTGACCAGCCAATTAGGCGTTCTCCATTTTGTAATTTTTGTTACTCGTTATCGCAAATAGTTTGCCAAGAAATGGCTTTAAACGCAAAAAGCACAATGAGCTTCTCTTTAAACTCTTCTCATTATCTAGCTAGCCAGTCAGCAAGAGAATAGAAGTTCTTGGTAGCTCCCCACATAAATTCCACGATTTTATGCCACACCAAGGCATTTCAATTTAAAATGCAATTCAGGCGAGTTCCACCATTCAGCACAACCTTTTGTTTGTCAAAGCCAACGAGGAAAAATAATACAACAAACAAAAAAAAGTTCATCCAAAAACTCACGCCATGGAATAATGGCAACGAAAGAAATATAAGCGATTCTTTTGCAAGTGCGCTGTGTCGATATTGTTGCCTCCCAATACCGCAAGCAACGTGCATATGTACACCGAGAAAAATATGGAGAACTGATGAAAAATATTAAATAATATTTAAAGAATTGGACACAAAATACGTACTAATAAGGAATGATATAAAGTTATAGGTGCTACATTCCGTTAACAGTTTAAATTAAATAAACCTATTGATAATTATAATTTCAAATTTACAAGAAATTAAGATTCTCTAAATTATTATGATTTACTTTTTTCAGCTTAACAAATTTAAAATTTTAAGTTACTTCCTTTAAAAGTAAAGCTTCTTTTTTTAAGCTTTTATTCTACATGCTTTAAGGATTTTTATAATATTGTTTTCCAGTTAAATACGGCAACGTATTTGATTTAATTTTTATAAAGTTTTTTAAATAATAATTTTGCTGGCAACAATTCTTCGCTGAATGTGTACTTGGGAATTTTAGGAACAATAACTGATAGTCGATTCAAGTGAATTCATTGAAAGCTAATTTACGGTATGCCTTTACTTTCCTGAACCAATTTTAAAGAGAAGATTAATTATTTATTATTTTTATTATTTTGAAAATTAAGTTTTTAAAAATGCATATTTCTTCAAGTGTACATACATATACGCCAATTTCGAATATTGACAGCGCGGGAGCATTTAACCAACGGATGGACAGGGACGGAGGGAGAGACGTACCCAGCCAGAGAGTGACTTTTCTTATATCCTTTCCCATTTCCTTTTTTTTTGTCTGTTCGGTTTCCTCTCATTTTTATTTTTCGTACTGGGTTCAAGAACATGGCTCGAGGCTGTAATAATAAAACAGTAACGGAAACTCGGTGCAGTGCACGCAGACAAAGAATAAAGGAACAATAAAAAAAGCAATCGCACAGCGATTCCATGGCAGCAAAGGGATTCGGAACCGGAGATAAAGGCCAGAAAGAGTTCGCATTAAATTAGACCAAAATGGACCACATTTAGAGGTCCTTTTGGACAAGAGGAAAAGGAGCTGTGAGCGCATATATTAAAGCTCTTCTCTTTGGCCGGATGGCCTAAAATATCCTATCAATATATAAACATATATTCCGGCTCACATCGACCTCACCCGGACACCAAAAAACAAACACACATCCGCCTTTTGCGAATGTGTCGAGAACTCAATGTTAATCAGCTTAGACAACCTCCGTCATCGGCTTGCGAGGCTTTTTTCGGTTGTTGTTTTTCCTCATTTCTTTTTTTAGGCCCATCAAGAGGCCTAAGAGCAAACAAATAACTCGATTTTTCGAGGGGGATGTGGGTTTTATCCCCTGGAAATGCTTTTAAAAATTAAACAACTGATAAATGACAAAGTTCGTTGGACCAGAAATTATCGTTTGACAAATTGGCAGGCCACGATGATGAGACCTCATCAATTGCCAGGCAACCAACCACGTGGAGACCATTAGATCCTCCAGCTAAGAGGGGGTCCTTACGAAGAGCCAGACGAATTACTTATGAGTAAATGGGTCTATTGACATGGAAAATTAACTCTTGGGGATTTTATTTGTCAAGAATGTATGCTTCAGTTAAAATACACTCTGTGAGTAGTGAGTTCAGCGAATAAAATTAATCATATGAGGTTAGAGATGGAGGCTCTTTGTTTGACTTGAGATTATTTGCAGGCTTTTACCATTGATTTCACGATAAATTTATACTTATATTTCATTTTCCCAAAAGCTTTAGGACTTTAAGGTATTATTTTTATTACTATATTGAAACACACATATTTACTTTAATTTTGTTGAGTTATTATGAACAGTTTTAGGCTTATCCTAATTAAATTTGTAAAATTCCAGAGTGTATTAATAAAGATATGTGGATTGTTATGTTGTACTAAAACAAATCACATTCATTCCTGAATAATCATTAGTTTAAACCTTAAAAAATATGGTAAAAACTTTAACCACCAACCGAACACAAAAGTTAACTTTGACACTCAACCACCGAAACGTATTTTAATAGTGCATCGCCAACAATAGCCATGGAAAACTTTACTAATTATCCGTTAAGCAAGAAAAATCCTAACATAAAAACGCAGAGCAACAACAATAAATTTAACGACGACCATAACACCAAAAAGAAAAAGATTGAAAGAACACGAGAGCAAAAATTTTAGCACTTATCCTGAGTCAGGAAAATCTGTATGTTTTGGGGCAAGAGAGTTTCCCACTCGAAATGCAAGATTATCCTTTGAGGGAAACTCACTGAAGCTGCGTGTGAAAAGAATGACTCGGAGCTTTTGAAGCAAAACTCAGTTACCCAAACACACAGTTCCCATGGCACACGTAGTAAACTTTACGTCCATTTTTATAGGTTTTTTTATTTTTTAGTGTGGACGGCTGTCGCACTAATTGCCACATGACTTGGCCAAAGATGAGGAGAATGGCTCCGGGACAGGACAAAATTAATGAGATTACTTTACTGTCGCTGGAAGGGAGGACGGACGTATTGTGTATTGTATATGCATTTAATCAATTGCACTTCAAGCGTAGAATATAGATATCTATGTAACCCAGATAGATGTGACCACTTATACCTAGTAAACTCTATTGAATTTGCAGCTAATTCGAAGGCAGTGCACTCTTTTTTGTCATGAAAAGAGGGACCAAACGTACAACAATGAAACAAAGAATTCAATGCGAAAAGCGTGTACTTTATTTTAACTAAAACTAATTGTTAAATCTAACTAAGGGAGATCTATAAATGTTGATAGTAGTGTGAAAATTGTTATAAAACTATATTCGATATATACTTTATGTACATCAATCCAAAAAAGAGATGTTTATGCATGTTATTGACTTCGAACTGAGGTTTTGTTTCACAATGTCAAATATATAGTAAAATTAATAAATGAATAAATAAAGAAATGTATTCAAATATTAAGAAAATAATCTTTTAATCGCCCAGGAAAACTTAAAAGTTATAGTATCAAATTGGATTATAATAAGACAATTACTTTGTCTAATGTGTCAGTGACCACTCTATTTCAGGTATGTAACTAAATATAATACATTTTTCCATATTATAAAAGTGTCCAATGCAGAACAATGTTGCAAATAAATTTATACTTTAATTGTGTTCTTCGCCTATAAATTTCTTGTTTAATTAAATTAGGTCGATTAATTTAAAATACCGAAAACGCCTTGAAAATTATAATTTCAGTAAAAATTCTAAAATACTTATTTTCCGTTAACTCATGTATTGAATATAAAATATTTTCAAATTTGAAATATTACTCTTTTTATAAATAGTGAGGTTTTTTTTGTCTATAGTATTTATAGTAATTCAAATAAATTCAATTAATTATTAATTTTCTAGGACCCGAAAATTTTTTAAACTTAATCATTTCAGTCGTACTTATTAAATATTTAAAATTTTCTATTATTTCTTTTGTTATTATTTTGTCGCGAAAGCTTTGCCTTTTTACACCTTCATATACAACTTGTTTGTGGTATTTTCCGTTGCTCGGCCTGCGGCCACACTGCATTCTAGCTACCTGCAACAAAAACAACAACACGGAAGTCTGTAAATGTAAATAGACGGAACTTGTTGCACAGACGGCTAAATATACAAGATATCGGAGTTGCCGAACAATAGAAGCAAGCAGCCACAGGAGAGCCACCAGCTGGTCAACTAAATGCGCATCAAAATGAATTGCGAAGTGCACGAGCAGCAAAAACATCAGCCACAACAGCAACAACAGCATCAGCAGCAGCAACAACAGCAGCAAGGCAGCAACAAGTTGCCAGTGAGAAAGCAGGAGAGCTGCTCCGACGACGACGAAAGTCTCGGCCCCAGCCTCAACCGAACGGAGCGCCAGAATCTGGAGTTCGCCAAGAAGCTGGGCTACAGCGAGCAGTCCATCCATTCGGCGCTCACCCGCCTGGGATCGGAGGCCAAGCAAAATGAGCTACTGGCTGAGCTGATCAAACTGACGTCCGACGCCCCCCGACCCAGTAATCCGGCGTCCAATAGTAACCCGGTTGTAACCAATGCCAGTACCGCGGCCGGGCCAATAAGCACCGCCCTGCGACACATTGTCATCGATGGCAGCAACGTGGCCCTGTCGCACGGCAACAACCTGATCTTCTCCTGCCGCGGCATCCGCATCTGTGTGGACTGGTTCCGGCAAAGGGGTCACCGTGACATCACCGCCTTCGTGCCGAACTGGCGCAAGGAACTGGCCAACAATAACATCGCCGACCAGGAGCTGCTCTACGAGCTGGAGCACGAACGGGTGCTAGTGTTCACGCCATCGCGGCATCTGGACGGCAAGCGTGTGTCTTGCTACGATGATCGGTTTATCCTTAAGTTGGCCGTGGAAACGGACGGAATTGTGGTGTCCAACGACAACTACAGGGATCTGATTTTGGAGAGCAACGACTTCCGACGTGTGGTGCAGGAGCGCCTGCTAATGTACTCCTTTGTGAACGACATTTTCATGCCACCCGACGATCCGCTGGGCAGATCGGGCCCAAACCTGGACCTATTCCTCTGCTCGCAAACGCAGCAGAAAATGGTGGATGCACAGCAGTTGTGTCCCTATGGTAAGAAATGCACCTACGGGCAGAAGTGCAAGTTTCGGCACCACAATCAGGGTCCACTGCTTCAGCGCTTGCCGCTTCAGGCCTCCCACAGTGCGCCCCTGCACAGCAATGGTGGGCAACAAATGCTCAGTCCGGGTGTCAATAACAACATAAAGATCAACTCACTCATCAGTCGGGAGCCCCTGGGACGCACTAAATCGAATACCATCGAGCAGGTGTGCCAGGGCTTCTCGGCCCAAATGGATCTGTCCGAGGGTTCTGCGGATACCAGCCAGCCGAACCGCCACAAGAAGCTGCAGCGTCAACAACCGCCGCCCGCCTATCGCCTTCTAGTGCCCACCTACAGTGCACCTCTCCAGCAGCAGGTGCCGCCGCAGCATCAACAGTCCAACAAGTCCAGCTCCAACTATCACCATCAGTATCTGACGCGCACGCCCTCCGCCCCGGTCACAGACCAGGGATTGGTACTGCCACTGCCCGCTCGCAATTTTGTCCATCTTTCCGCCTCCGATTCGCGCATTAACGAGGAACTCCACAGCTCACATCAACTGCCACGGGAGGAGCAGCGTCGTCTGCTCCGATATCACTTGGGCAGTCTGTTTCCACCGCACCAGGTGCACGCCGTCCTGCAGCTATATCCCGAGGAGACCGACGCGAAGACCATCTGCGCAGCTATTCTTAATTTATTTCCGCATAATTAGACTAGGCTTAAACTTCATCAATATAATTAGATCTGTAATTACACGCGTGTGTTTATTAATATTTAAAGTTTCCCCTGTTGGGGAAAAAAAATCTACATCTCTAGGCCAACAATGTTGGTCGTGTCGTAACCCATCAGTCCATCGACGTTGTCTCTGCTAGAGACACTGCGGCGTTCATGAATGACCCGATGGTTACGCAGCTTGTACGCTTGGGGGAAGCCCTTGCCGCAGATCTCGCACCTAAAGGAGAGGAAGCGAAAATAAAATTAAAGATAAGAATCTCTTTAAAATCGATCAACATGTGCCATTGAAAAATGTTCCAAATATTTTTCATTCAGATATCGATTACATTTGAGAAATAGAAGGCGCGAAACTTACACATGTGGTTTTTCTCCCGTGTGAATCATCTTGTGGAACTTCAGCGTGTTGGTGTATGTAAATGTCTTGTGACACACATCGCACTCGTAGGGCCTCTCATTGGTGTGAATCCTGCCAGAGATAAGTATTGATGTAATCCAGTTCAGATAAAAATTGATTAAATCCACTAACCTGTGGTGCTTATTGCGGGTGGACAAGTCAGCAAAGGCTGCCGGGCAGTAGCTGCACTTGTACGGCCGATTTCCCGTGTGTGTGTTCATGTGCCGGGCCAGTTGTTGAGCCTGGGCAAAGCAGTGGCCGCAGATCCTGAAAAGCAAAAACTTGAGTTTAGTTATTTTGATTTTTTAAGATACGAAAAAGTTTGAGTGTACATATTTCCTAATTTATGGATGAAAACACTTACTCGCACTCATGAGGCTTTACGCCAGAGTGAACCTTGATGTGTTCGGTTAGGCGACTTTGAGAGGGATACATGTTGCCGCAAACGTCGCAGATGTACTTGAACTCCTTCTTGTCGCCAACGAGAATCTTGTGGCCGCCCTTAGTCTTGACACCGGCATGTTTTCGCGCCAAGACTTCACCAATTGAAACGCCCTCCTCATTAATAAGGATTTTCGTGGTGGTCGCATCGTTGAGCCGCCTGATCTTCAGCGGGTTGCCACCGCGGGCACCGTCCTTGGATGTTCCCGCAGCTGATTTCGATGACGATGCGGCTACCTTGCGCGTGCTGGCTCGTCGCCTTATGGTCCCGCGCTTATTAGCAGCCGCTCTAGCCGATCTTGTTGGTATGAACTCTTCCTCGTCAGGATCATCTTCCTGAGCGCTCTCGGTTAATTGATCCTGATCGACTTGCTCTAGGTATTCAATGTCTGCCGAGAGTCCAGAGAGCGACTGTTCGGCCATTTCCTGCTCGGTGATAATGTCCCCCTCGTAGGTCTCGTACACATCGTACACCTCCTCTATGATGCCTTCCTCTTCAACCTGTTCATTTTTAACAGCCACAAGGCGATCTTTTTCAAGTTCTACGAGTATGCCTTCCTCGAGATCGTCGGCGTAGTCGTGGACCTGGACTTCCGGCGATTCCTCAGTTTCACCCTCGGCATATTGGCTTCCATCTAGGTCCTCATCCTCTAACTCCTGGTCATGCTCCATTTCCTCGGTTTCCTGTTTCGGATGGGATGACTGATTTGCCCTTGTCTTTGCAGGCGATCGTTGCTCTACTTCCACGGGGGCCACGAATTGCCGCAGGTGTCCGTAGGAACGCTGGCACGTCTGCCGAAACTTAAATGACATCTTGAGCATCTTGCAACACTTTTCGCATATCTTGTCCGGATAGTGATCAAATTTCTTGATCTGCCAATGGAATCAGAAAAAACTATAAATGAGTTTCATGGAAATGGGACACACTTACTGGCACTCCGCCGCACTCGCGAATCATGTGGGTCATGTCCTTCTCCGTATCATCGTTAAAAATGCTGGCCATGGGCTCCTTGGGCTGCTGCAGGCATACCCGGCACACAATCCACTTCTGCGTGGTCGCAGGTGCCGCAGCCGCAGTTGCTTGGGCGGCCGAGTCTCTCATTGTCGAGGATGAAACGTGGTTCTATCCTGGAATCGATTATATTTTATTTTACAGAACACGCTCGCTTTTTATGAAGACGACGCCAAAAAATACAATGTAGTCGGGAGCCAAGCTGGCTGCGTTGCAACGCGAATAGCGATTAGCAGGGTGACCATTGAAGGTAGGAAAACATCGATAAAAACAACAATGCAGCGGTGTATATTTATAAACAAATACTTTAAATTTGTTAATTTATTATTGAAGCGACAAGAAATTCATTATTTTTAATATAACATTCATAAAATAAAAAATTAAAAAATTCTAAAATAATACAAAATGGCTATATCACAAATTTATATTATGAAAACTGGAAACATTAAATTTTTTTTTTTATAAAATTTTTCGATCGTTCCTATGGCAGCTATATGATATAGTGAACCGATGTTCATAAAATTTAAGCCAAAATTCTAGAATAATACACAATGGCTATAACTCAAATTTAAGAAAAATGTATTGAAAACTGAAAAAGTTGTAATAATTTCTCTTTCGTTCATAAGCCAGCTTTAAAATATAGTAGTCTGATTTTAATAAAATTGTACCCGAAATTATATAATAATTCAAAGTTGCTATATCTCAAATTACATAAAAAATATTTTGAAACCCGGATAAAATATCATTGTTTTTCTAACAAATATTCCGATTGTTTCTATGGAAGCTGAATGATATAGTCGTCCGGCTTTTAAGGATGTTAAAAAACATATGTACTTTATAGAATCGAAAATGTCTCCTTTATTGCGTTGCACATTTCTGATTATTATAGTATCTATATATAGTATTTAAAAATAAAAGACAGTCGAATTTTAAAGATATGTTTTTAAATACAACATAATTGGAAAATACAAAGAAAAACAAATTAGTTTTCCTAGATCAATTATTAATATTTTAATTAATTCCTGACGATAGTTTTTGCGATCCCCAGAAATGGTCATACGATACTTACCGCACGGTGTCAGCGTAAACGCGTTCCCCTGTGAATGGCCACGGACGCTTGCATTCAGCTGTTGGCATTTGTGCATTTTCCAAAAACCACGACTAACTAGTTCTGCGTAATTAGCCATGAGAACGGAGTCCAACGAGAAATGGATTGTGTGCCGCGTATGCTTGAATGGCGATGGCGAGGAGACCCTCCATGAAATATTCAGCCAGACGGCCAGCACTCGTCTGGACCAAATGCTGCACATCTGCGCTGGGGTACCAGTAAGTCGGCTTTAGTCACCCAGAAGAGCCTTAATTTGAGAAAATTAACTCCCGACAGGTCAGCCAGGATGATAACTTCCCCGATAAGATGTGCAGTAAGTGTATGCGGTGCCTGCGACTGTCCTATAAGTTCCGGCTCACCTGTCAGCGGTCCCACCAGCACGTCATGGACATGCTTGCCCGGGAGGCAAGGAACACCAATGTGACAGGCGGTGATGCAGATAGCCAAAATCTCTCGGATGACTTCACCGCTGAGAACGTGTTCAAAGTTTGGGAAGAGGACACGAGCCAGCTAGAAGGCGCCCTAAAGGAGGAAGAGCTTCGAACGGAAGAGGAGGCTCACCAAGAACAAGAATCCCATGAGATGATCACGTACGTTGTGGAGGGAGCCGAAGGAGAAGAAACCATTATATACGATGGCAGCAGTGAGGCGGAGAACCCGGAGGTTGTCTTTGATGGCGTACAGACCGGTATGGAGGAGGCAGAATCTTATGCAGAATATGAGGAATTTGAGGAATTGGTCCCTGTCGATAACACTTCCCCTTGCCTTCTACGCCAACGGATAAAGAATCGAGAACGCGCTCAACAAGCGGATTAATCCAAATGGACCAATTGGCAAGCAACGATATGACTGATTTTGCTCTCAGCTCCGATGAAAATGAAAGTGTGTTAGCCGAGGAAAAGCCTAAATCCAAAACGACGGTCAACAGACAACGCTCTGTCAAAAAACCATCTCAGGGAAACCGCCCTACTGCGGATGGAGATCCCGTCGACCGAAAGCTGGGCCGAAAACCAAGGGAAAAACACTGCACTTATATCTGTGATGTATGCGGAAATATCTATCCCACCCAGGCCCGTCTTACCGAGCACATGAAGTTCCACTCGGGTGTAAAGCCCCATGAATGCGAGTATGTTACACCCATGCGTTGGAATAAATGATTCTCATTAAATCTACTCCCGTTGCAGGATTTGCGGACGTGGCTTTGTTCAGAATCAGCAGCTGGTAAGGCACATGAACACCCATACAGGGAACCGGCCTTACAAGTGCAACTATTGCCCAGCTGCGTTTGCCGATCGTTCCACAAAGACAAAACATCATAGGTATGTCTCAGGGTTATATTTCCAACCGAGGAACACAGTGACTAATGGCTTAAAACATTACTGCCATCCGTAGAATTCACACCAAAGAGCGTCCCTATGAGTGTGATGTTTGCTCCAGGACCTTCACCTATTCGGACAACCTCAAGTTTCACAAGATGATCCACACGGGGGAGAAGCCGCACGTGTAAGTTTTCCGTCCGCCTTTCTTAGTGGAATTCTTATAATAATCTTTATCTTTTTCCAGTTGTGACCTTTGTGGCAAGGGCTTTGTAAAGGCGTACAAAATGCGCTTACATCGAGTGACACATGAGCGGCGTGGTCAGTGGAAGTCGGCGTCAGATGTAGAGATGAAGAACACCGCGGAGACAGTGACGCAAGAAAAGCGCAATAACTGGAAGGCATCAGCTGTAGAAATGAATGCAGACGACGATTTTGTTAAGGAAGAGATAACGGAGTTCCTCACTAGTTAGTTTCAAGTTAATATCGTTTATCTCCATTGTACTGCGACTTAAAAACAAAAATTAGTTTAAAATTTACAATCAAACAAGGTTAAATTACAAGCTTTTATATTACAAACCTTTTAAAATCAATTAGTTTTAGTTTAAACTCCTTAAAAAGTCTTCAATTGTATATATTGATCTTATATTTAGTAGCTTTTATTAATGATTTTCTTAGTCCTAAGAGTGATTTGTAATAAATCTAAATAGCTTACGAAGATCACATATTTTTGAAATATACAAAATATCAATATAAACTCCCATTAAAATATCAATTAAGAAACTTTCTGTTTAAAAGAAAAGCCTAAAAAATGTAAGTGAAAAACTCTTATAAGATCCCAGGAAGAAAACGATCCCGAATCAGCCGATAAAACCGACCAAGCGATAAAACTGCTTTTTGGTTGAACTAGAAAAAAAGCAAAGTACGGCTAGAAAGGCTTTCTTTCCAACTGCAAGCGGAGGTCTGATTATAATGAAATAACTTTTTAAAAACCGTGTTAAACTTATTTTATTTGCTCTACCAAGTTGATCTTGGCTTCTGCGTGGTCTTTTGGTTTGTGGGACTTCTCGTGTGCGTTTTTGTGGTGCAACTGAGAGAAGGTTCGCTGGCAGTGCTGGCAACTAAACGGTCTTTCACCCGTATGCGTTTTAATGTGAACTCGGAGGACATTGGAGTAGGCAAACGACTTGCTGCAATGCTTGCACTTGTACGGACGTTCATTGGTGTGGATTCTAAAACATATTTTATGATTTTTTAGTGTTCCTAAGAAAGCTTATTCAAGTTACCTGTGGTGCTTAATGCGGGTTGAAGGGTCAGCGAAGCAAGAATCGCAATAATCACACTTGTACGGACGGTTCCTCGTGTGTGTGTTCATATGCCTAGTCAGCTGTGGCGTTTGCCGGAAGCGCTTGTGGCAGATCCTTAAAGAAAAAAAGGTTACTCCACCAAGGCCATGGGATCTATCATACCAGTGGCTTACTCGCACTCATGTGGTTTCTCTTTGTTGTGGACCTTTAGATGAGCTGCTAGCTTTATCCGATCGGGAAGAGGTTTATTGCAAATTTTGCAGGAAAGCGAAAGAGCCTGATCATTTTCACCTGCCTCTGGCTCTGGAGTCATAGATTCAACTGATTCTTCCTTGAGGAGTGATGTTGGAGTTGAGGTCAAATGTTCTATGCTAATTATCTCATCGACACTACCAGGCGCATCCAAGTCGTAGGGTTCCAGGTACTCGTACTCCACTTCGCTGTCACTGCAGCTTGCCTCCTTCCTGGGCAGATCTTTACTTTTATCCTCCAGCCGTGGGACATTATCTTCAATGTCGATTTTGATCCTCTGCTGCTGCAATGCTTTCTCTGCCTCTTGGCAAAGCGATCGCAATTTGAGTGCCGCCCGGAGTAGCAGGGCACAGCTGGTGCAGATTAGATTGGGCAAGCTAGAGTTCTCCTTGAGCTAAGGATACAAAAATTATACTTCTTAGTGTGATTCTAGAAGACACAAGGACTTACGCCCACCTGAATTCCAGTGCAGCGTTGGATTTGCTCGCAAAAGTCCGACTCCGTGGGCATGAGGGACTCATCCTTGGGCAGCAAAAGACAGATGCGACACTGAGACTCCTTTCGATCCATTTGCGAATGCATCGTCCTGTTATCCGAGTACAGTTCTGTCCTCCAGTAGAGTTCCTGCTCCTGTTCCTCTCATAAAATTAAAATTTGAGCGCATTCGGGGCGAATGGTAAACGAATCAAAACAATCGTTACCGGTGAAAGGCAAAAAGAAGAAGAAGAAGAATAAAGCAATAGAACGAACACGAAGGATAACAATAATAAGAATAAGAAATCAACCTCATTTTTAGGATCACCGATCATGACGTAACTAATTACAAAGCTTTCTGAATGGAGCATAATGAACTGTTGATGAAGAGTGCACGCTCCAAGCCGTAAACGAAGCCTGCGAGCCAACTGTTAAAGATCTCCACCGGAGAAGAGAACAGCAAAAATGGAGCTGAAACTGATATGCTAAACGTTTGCAGGACGTGCCTCCAGGATGGTGACGCCCAAATGGTCTCCCTTTACGACGAAGCCGAGGACAAGGAGCGGGGCGGAAATTTACTGTGGGAGAAACTCGAGAGTTTCAGTGGAATTCAGGTGGGGAAAGCTGTCGAAGTTCTTTTAATAATAGCTTTAAATCAACATTTTCTTGGCAGATAACTCGCAAGGAGCATTTCCCCACCAGGATTTGTCTAAAATGCAAAGCCTTTCTAATCCTCGCCCATAAGTTCCGACAGATTTGCCAGCGCTCCCATGACTTCCTAAGTGAATATGTGGTGAAAGATGTAGAGGAGCCTGTTGTGGGTTTGCCAGAATTTTCTCCGCCACCTGTGGAAACGGAACAGCTGGAGCAACTAGAGGTGGAGGTGCTTGATGAGGCTGTCTGGGCCGAAGAAGAACGAGTCGAGGATGTAACAGCTTCGTCACTGAAGGAGAGGCCAGTGGTGTTGGCAGTTGAAACAGTTCCAGCGCCTGCAGTTAGTAACGTCAAGCTGCATGTATGCGAGATATGTGGCAATGGCTATCCTAGGAAGAGCACCCTGGACACTCACATGAGAAGACATAACAACGAAAGGCCTTACGAATGCGAGTAGGGAAAGTCTCTAAATTTAAATTACTCTCTTATTAAAATAATTGTTTCCCTTTTAAGGATCTGCCACAAGAGTTTTCATGTCAATTACCAGTTGATGCGCCACATACGGCAGCACACGGGAGCTAAGCCCTACACCTGCCAATATTGCCAACGCTGCTTTGCGGATCGCACTTCCCTTGTGAAGCACGAAAGGTGTGAGAATAACTTTTTAAAATGTTTTATTTTTTTTACGTTTTTACGACTTATCCTTACCAATTTCACCTGTAGAACCCATCGAAATGAACGTCCTTATGCTTGTCAGACATGCGGCAAAACCTTCACTTATTCTAGCGTCTTGAAAGAACACTACAAAACGCATACGGGAGAAAAACCTCACACGTAAGAACGATTACATTAAGCTGAACTTTGAATAATTAACAACAAACAATTCTTTTCATGCGTTCTCAGGTGCAAACTCTGCGGCAAGACCTTTGCCCGCACTCACAATTTGGTCGCCCATATGCAGACCCAACAGCATTTAAATGATCCACGAACTGCCGGCTATCTGAACACGATAAAAGCCGGCAGCACTGGAACGATTTTGTAAGAATATAAAATACAGAAAATTCTTATGTATAAAACTAAAGATTCCTGGTTAACACTCTCCACGTTCGGTTTTACTTTTTACAATTTCATCTTTTATTTAACTTACTTGCAAGCGGTACACAATCTTTTCTCTTTGTATTGTTAAATTTTTGTTTTACAATCTTTACAACTTTTAATGCGTTGTATTAGGGAAATGCCGTATCTTGAGTTAAAAGTGCTGACACTGACTTGGCTCTGTGATCGAGATAATTATTGCGGGAAAAGTAGGAGGACGATTGGTTGTATTCGTTAACAAAATTAAATAACAAACTATGAACTTGGATCGTGATTAGCCGATGGCCTTTGCACAGCAAAGAAACATCTACTTGGCCGCCATGCGGATCTTGTCCTTCAGCAAATTACGCAGCTCGGTGACCATCAGCTCGTGTGAGTCCTTAAACGTAGCCGAGACATCCCCGATAAGCGTGGCCTCCACTTCCGGCTTCAGCGACATGTCTGACATGAAGGAGCTAAGATCCCGGGGTAGCACCGGCGCCTTCCAAGTGCCTAAATATAGAAAATGTAAGGAAAATTTAGCATATTTAGATATTATGTGTGAATGAAGTGAGCTACTCACGTATAGCCGCATCACAGGCCTCCAGCTTATGTTTTAGTTGGCGCATTAGCTCCTGCACCATCTGGCTGCGCTCCTTTTCGCTAATTGGTTGTGGGCCATTCTCCTTGTTGTCTGCCGTTCTCTTCTTTGTCTTAGTCTTCGAGCTGACCTGCAGCTTCTCGTTCAGCACGGAGAGCAGAAATGCGTACAGGGATAAAATCTATAAGAAAGGAACTTTTGAATTGTAATCTAGAAATTTTCTTCGAGCATAAATGGAACTTGCCTCTAGACTGGCGGCCACGTTTTGTTGCTGCTCCCGCCGGTTCCATAGGCCGTCCTTGCCGTTCCTTCGTTGCACTCGGCGATGGTCTTTACACACACATCCATTACAATAATGACGTTGTCTCCCACCCGCTTGCATTGTTCGGCTAGCTTTCCGGATCCGCTGTGCAGGTCGAGAACCAACTGGGCCAGGTCATCGAAGAACCGTTCGTAAGGCACCTTGAGCAGCAGGTGCAGGCGCGTGGGCAGTAGGTTGACTAGAAAAGGTTGCGGCAGCGGTTTGTAGTTCATCAGACGCAGGCGTTGGAACAAACCCGTCCAAGATTCCCGCAGTAGCTCCAAAGTGGCAGTCTCCGTTCCCGCTGGCACATCTTTCGCACCCGAGCCATGATACAGATCGATGAAGGAAGCGAACAGGCGAAGCATTAACGAACGCACCTGCAGCACCTCCACCTCCTGGTCGAAGGATTCCTTACGTTCCTCGGCAGCATTCACCTGGTGCAACGGGTCCCAGCGAATAATGGCGTCCAAGTCCCGGTTGTCACTCAGTTCGTGCCATGCAATTCGATCCTCCGCTGGCTCAATGCTCATCGCCGAGTAAGCGGTAAGATTTTGCGTAACATTTCCATAGCAGCTCACCAATCACAGATCTGGGCCTCCACCGAACAGGCGACATACTGCAGGCTGTTAGTCAGCCGCTCCTTAAAGTTCATGAACTCCTCCATCTTGGAGAACGTACAAAAGCGGTACGTCAGGGCAATGTACTCCAGCCGCTCCTTGTAACTGTTGGTGAAGAACTTCAGCGTAGCATCGTAGACGGTTCTGGTGCCAGAGAAGCGTCCACCCAGCGGCAACAGCTGGCAGTGCACATATCCCATCGAGTCGAGTTGGATCTGCTTGATGTCCAGATACTCGTACATCTCCTGGGCGCCCACTTGGCAGCCAAACAGGTGGTATATCTTTAAGCTTAGCAACTTCACGTGAAAGTTGCTCGTGCTATTGCGAAGGACATACTGCAACAGGCACAGGGCTTCGAACAAATGATCGGACTTGTGTTCCCTCCGGCTGAGGTCGTACATCACATTTGCCGCCAGCAAGGCATACGCATCCGATGGTCCCATCTCAGTGGCCAGCAGCTTCTTGCCGAACGTACTCCTGCCATGCTCGTAGTGCAGCTTAAGGGCCGTGTAGAAGGCAATTAGGTGGTCAACGGGTAGCTCAATGTGCGAGCCACACATACGAGAGATTTGGAGGGCACAAAGGTGTTTCTGCATCTGCTCCTTCTGTTATTTTTCCCTTTGGTTATTTAAAGATTTTGGATAGATCGCATTAATTACTTACATTTTGCGGCAAAGACGTGGAACTAACTCCGCTCTCCAGGAGCAGCTTGCTGGCCAGTGCCTGCCGCTGCTTCATGCTAATTGCGGGCAAGAATAGGGCGATGTCGTGGGTGCAGCAGGATTTGTCGCCAAACAGGTTAAAGTACTCAATGACCATCTCGTCAAAGTCGCCGATTAGCTGCTCCGCGGGCAGTTTATCCGCCCTCATCCGCTGGTGAAGCTCTAAGCGGGCCAGATAGGGACCCCGTTTCTTGCGCTCCGAAGACTCTATAATGCGCTGGAGGAATTCCTGACACCTGACCAGCGAATCTTTCTCTCCGTTCTCTTCTTCCTTTGGCGAAAGTTTCAGTAGTTCAAAGGAGCTTTGAATGTACTCCTTGTAGTAATCCCATCGATCGCGGCTAGAATGATTTATAAATATCATCAGTGTTCATAAATGGATAATCCAGTGCTACATACTCGGCATCCAAAAGTTGCTGCAATAGCTCATTTAGCTCCCGCCAATTGCCCAACTCCTTGAGGAGCTCAAACTTCATGCTGACCGGAGCACCTGGATAGAGCTTGGCGCACAACTCGCCGGTAAGGAATTCCCATGCCTCCTGATACTTATTCTGCAGCTTGAGGATGTGGAGATAGAGGAAGGCCTCTTGTTCCGTCTCTAGTTTGCCTTCCTTGATGTGCTTTTCGACCATGCGCTGCGCCAGTCCCAGGTAAATTTTTCTTTTCTCCGGCAGCGCCGATTCTGGCCCCCGGATGCCCTGGAAGACCACACTGATCACAGACCAAAAGTAGTAAGCATTCTTCGGCTGCGCCTTGTAGAGCTGCAGGGCAACAGCTTGCTGGGCTTTATAGTCCTCCACGCGCACATGGGAAATGAAGAGGTGGGCGAGAAGCTCCTCGTTTCCCGGATTCTGCTTCACCGCGTGCTGGTACAGCTCCACAATTTTATCCACTGTAACGAGGCGGAGATATATGTAAAATTAGCAATAATAGCTACAGTACAGGTATCTATATATTCAAATCGTTGGCACGCACTTGCTGCCGTCGCCGTCGTCAGACTAAGAGAATACGATTTTAATTAGTCGGGCGAGGTGCGCGTGCCAAGAAAAATACGAAAATATGAATTGTGGGCACTTCGTATGCGTGATCAGGGGCGGCGTTGATGGGAACTCGGTGGATATGGAAATGCGGATGTTTTACTTTGAAAAAAAAAAATCGTTTTACTATTTATTTGCATTTGTTTAACTGGAATTAAAAGCTTGTAGAGATCTTCATGTTTTTTATTTGTTGCACTAAAAAAAAATTTAGGTCCTTTGCTTTTATCTCAAAATTTAAAGGACTTTCTAAACTCTGAATATTTTCCCAGTCAAACCAAAGATTTTCTTCACTTCTCGTGCTTTTAACTTAAAAGACAACATGACTTCTTAGCCTTTAGGTGAAATTGATTTATACAATAAAATTTCTTGACATATAGAAATACTGAAAGTTAAAATTTAACTATATAACGTAAGTGGGAGAAATATACATATATTGAAAGTTGTAACCTTATTGCCTGATAACTATAATGATTATCAGATCTACCTTTTAAAGTCTCTAAGACCTTTTAAAAAACATAGCTGAATATTTTAAATAATTATACATATGTTATGTATAACATATTGATTCTTAGCTTGAAACTACACTTATGTACGTTGTAAGTGTAACGAAATTTATAAATAAAGGTATTGGGAAAATAAAATAATCACTATCTTATAAAAAAGAAAAATAGATTGCCTGAGTTTCTTTCGAATCTATTCTCCCACAGCTAATTTTACATTAAATCAGGTAAAGCCAGATCCAAAAGAGTTTCGGTTACAATGTCTAGTGTAAAGGCAAGTGATAATATGCCTTATCTCAATAAATGAAACATCTTTAGCCTAGATTATAGAGGTGATAATTTGAGAGATAATTTGGTGTGATATTTGATCCCACAAAGCGGAAAATGGAATTGAATTCATAAGTAAATTGTAAAGCTACAACGTTAAAGGTCAGCTCATTATCCATTTTAGCACTAAATCGAAAACCTCGTACGTACGTTGTTCCATTTCCCGGTAGCAGAAGGATAGGACCTGCAGAGTGGAGTCGTCTGTGGGCTTCTCCTCGGCGACGCTCTGCAGGCAGCCGTGGCTTTCGTCATATCGCCCCAGCCGGAGCAGGGAGAGTCCCTTCAGTGCACGAGCGCAGAGCAGCGTGGGATGCTTGCGCAGCAGTTTTTCGGACTCCTGCAGGGCCTTGCGGTTGTTGCCCACTTCCAGGTTATCTATTAACGAGGTTAAACTTTATTAGTCTCTGGCTCCCTCCCAACGACTCCTCCACTTACCGTACACCGGCCGCAATCGGCGCTCGAACAAGGCGGAGTCCATGCCCTGCTGTTGGTGCTGTGCCATGTTATGTTATGCTGCTATATGCTGCTAACCTAATTACAACGTGCTGCATGCACCTCGCACGCCTCCTCCACTCGCTGCTGGGAGACTCGATTCGCTCTCCGTGGTTTGCTGTGCGGCACGCTGCCGACTTGGGTGCCTGGTCTATTCGCTTTTAGCGGCTCTCCTTGGGCTGCCCACGATGCTTGGGCGGTCGGGGGGCGGTCAACGGGCTCTCGGGCACTCGAATCACTCGCTCAAAAACTTACTAAATGCTTAATTTCATACAAATAAGTGACTTTAAATTTTATTCAAAATAAAAAAAACTAGACTGCATGTTCAGAGAGGAGAGAGCAGGCGCTCGGTATTTTCGCGGGTATTTCTTAGTATTTTCTGTGGTGTTTTCTGGTGAGGTATTTTTTGCGGTAAACGTGCAGTTGGGGTACTCCAGTAAAGCGCGTTTCTAAATCACAATATTCTTAATCATATTAATTATAAATAAAACTATTTTCAAATGAATTGAAGTGCATTATTTATATCGGTTTATTGGTAATAAAATAACTTCATTTGTAATTTGGTGATATGAATAAGTGTTATTGTTTATATTTATACCAACATTAAGAAACTATATGCAAAAGGCCAATTTGAATAAGTTTTATTAAATAAATCAGTATACAATACATATGTAAATACACGGATTTTATGAAAAAAAAAACTTGTAAATTGCTATATTTGCTACATTAAGAATACCCCTATTGTTGTGTTCTTACCAAACAGCTGACTGCTAGAGACGTGCCGATATTCGCTCACGGCGTGCAATTCGCAAGCGAACGATGAATGGCAATATAGAGTTTATCAATTTATTCGAGTGCTAATTTGATAATTTCACCTGTGCTGGCGGCTGACGCACTCGACAAGGCTGTAAAAACCTGGGCGCAACAACAAGAATTCAAAACAGCGTGACTCACGCACATGCCACGCACCTGGTGCAGTTGCCCATCCCTAGCTGCTGCCCCCGAAAGACGAAAACACGTAAAGGAATAAAATGTATAGTTTTTAGCAGCAAAAGCGGTGCGCGGGCTCAAAACCAAAACGTTTTCAAGTATTAAACTACCAATTAAGCAACGATCCTCCTAGTGACATAGTCAAACTTTACGCCGCGCACCGTGATCGCCGCTTTTTATCGCCTTTCCGCCTGGCCACCGCTACATGTCCATTTTTGGTGAAGAATTTCTCGCCAAATTCTCACCCGCGGCCGGACGCAATGAGAGATGAGATTTAACTGGCTGAGCGAGTACGTGGCCAGCATCTCTAGCAGCATCGATCGAGAGTCCAGTCCCTGGCGGCAACTGCAGCAGCAGGTGCAGCAGCTCACCTTCACCCCGCAGGCCATATACTGCCGTATCAAGTCCACTTCCGCCGAAGCACTGGAGCACGTAGTGATCGCCTGTGTGGTGTACTTGCTAGTATGCCTGGGCCTCTACAAGCTCACCTTTTGGCTCTCCACGCCGCCGGCTGGCGGGGCTCACAACAACAACAATGCTCCGCCCGGAACCGGAGACGAGCGGGAGTCTGGTGGACTGAAACAGGCACTGCAGTCCGGACTACGGCTGCGTAGCGTTCGGCTGCCAAAGACGACGCATATGGAGCGCGTCCTGCTGGTAACCGCCCATCCGGATGACGAGTGTATGTTCTTTGGGCCACTGATCTACTCGCTGACACAGCGTCAAGGCTGCCAGGTGTACATACTCTGCTTGTCCAACGGTGAGAACTAGTCATCAATGACATCATCCCCTGTCATCGTCGTAACCATTGATAGATATACATATAGAATCATTAACCGTTTACCCTTCTCAAAATCAGCTTCCAACCTTTATATAGTCCTACGATTTTTGTTTTGGCGCAATAACGGCCATTAATATAATCCCAATGATAACCAAACGAACATTATTGAACTGACACGGATTTGGTTCGATGGAAAACATCGCCAATTAATGTATTTTTTGTTTTAGATTACCCAAACAAATGTATTTTTATTCTATAGCCGAAACTGTTGCACCACTACGGTTTTGGTTCAATTTTTTCAATGGCTATTAATAGATATTCAAAACCAGAACCAAAATTAATTTATATCCAAGAACCTATCATCGAAATGGTCTCAAAAACTGTCAGAGAAATTGTAGTTCGTTAGCTTTAGAGTTTTGCAATTACCTTAATTTACTATCTTTGTATCGTATCCTAAAGATTACGTTATATATTGTCCGATTAATCCAATACATTTTTCACGAACAGGCAACTACGAACATGCCGCCAAGCTGAGGCGTCAGGAATTGTGGCGCTCGTGCTCCAAGCTGGGTGTGCCCGAGTCCAACATTGTGCTGATGAATGCAACCAACCTGCCGGATGACCCGAATGTGGACTGGCGCCCGGATGTGGTGGCTAGCTTAATACTCCACGCCGTTGAAAGTCTCGACATCCAGGCGATATTCACGTTCGATCGCGATGGCGTCAGCTCGCATCCGAACCATTGCGCCGTGTACTACGCGGCCGCATCGCTGTGCTTGGCCAACCTTTTGCCCAAAGGTGAGGAGGCGAGAAGGCGTGCGAGTCACGCGGGCGGCGACGGGCAGCAAACAATGGGTGCATGTTAATTGGCGTGCCCATCGTTGCATTTGTCGCTATTTATAGCCCTAGATATTATAGTATAGAGCAATTTTTTATGTACATATCATCATCATCCCGTTGCAGATTGCAAGTTCTACACCTTGGACTCGATAAATGTGGTCAGAAAATATCTGTCCATTTTCGATCTTCTGTGCACGTGCTTTATGTCAACACATTGGTATGAAATGTGGCCCAAATCCCATTAGTTGGTTTTTTGAATAACAATCCTCGTGGTGTCTTTTAGGTGCATTCTGAACTGGAGGGAGGCGGCGATTGTGAGAAGTGCCATGAAGGAGCATCAGTCGCAGATGAAGTGGTTTCGCTGGCTCTACATCTACACGTCGCGCTACATGTTTATCAATTCAATGCGGCAGATAAATCTCTCAGATGTGGAGTTGGAAATGCAGATACACGACAATTAACAAATACGGAAGGATATTAAAGGGAAACAACACCAAAAGACAAACTACCTTCATGATCGGATGCAGAACGCGAAGTTTTTATTTTAGACTCTGACGATTCTACTAGTATACAACACGTATGTAGCTACTGTTGGCCAAATGATCGAAAGCAATTGGAATATATCAATATCCAAACCAAAACCAGGGAACAAAGAAAGAACCAGGCAGTAACCGCAACCGCAACCACAAAACAGTCCATTAATTAGTTTCACTCATACAAAATGGCATATCTTTAACTCTGCATATTTATTAGTTAGCTCTAATTATTATTTATACTCAGTCCAAGCAATGTTCCAAAGTGTGCGATGTAGTCAAATGCTTTAAAATTAAAAGAGATGTATGCGTTATTATTCTAATTGTTAATGTTTTTAATTTTCGTTCTGTGTACATTCATTCCCCCTTAGCATACACACAATACATACCTTTAGCGAGTTTCGATTTTGTGTTCTTGTAAAATTGTAAAATAGTTTGTTGTAAGCAGCGAAGTACAATAATTTTTATAAATATATATTTATATGTATAAATATATGAATGTATGTATACATAAACAAATATACTTATGAGCCGGAGAAAATAGAACATAGAATGCTGTTAAATATTTATTTATATTTCTATTATTTTAATGAGCGCACTTTTAAATTAATTGTTTTATGGGCCAAACGCAGAACTCTTAGTAAAATGCGAAGCGATTTTTGTTGCAATTGAAACTCTTAAAACTTGTTTTATTTTTATTCAAGGGAGAGTCCATTATGTCGAACAATAAAGGATGGGTCCAACCAATCATCCATTGTTGATATGCTGTTTAAAATGTATTACAAGAGCCAAGCGAATCTTGTTATTGCAACTCTTAAAACTATTTATTTTTTCAGACAGCCATTTAGATATTACTATGTCACTAAGAATTTCAACAATCTTCGTCCATCGTAGCATTTTCTGCACAGTTAACAATGACTTTCCCCAGCCCCATATTCGACTCATGTTGCGCACACCGGAAGGCGTCGTCCGCCTCGCATAAGGGGAACGTGGCGGTGATGAACCTGATCATGGGCGCCTGACCCGATTCCATAAGTTGCAGGGCAGTAGGATACCTACGGGAGATAATTGATTTTCGGGTTATATACAATCATATTTTGGTGCATTTACATATTGGCGGATCGAAAACTAGGTATCAACCGGATATTCTTCATCAGAACGTCAAGTGCATTGAAGCTGGCACACTCCGAATCGCACTCTGATAGTACACATATACCACACGGCTGCAGAGCCATAACTGCCAGGTTCATTGACATGGCAGAAATGGAACAGTTGATCACGCAACTGGGCCAGGCCTGAAACTTGCTGTAGATGATCTCGAGTACCTCGCCGAAGATGCTATTGTGATCGAACTCAACAGTATCGAAGCCCAAGTCCTTGGCGATCATTTCGAGAGCTGGACCAATGCATCCAGCTATTGTTATCTTCTTGGCTCCCATTGCTTGGGCGCAAATTGCAGCTGCTGCTGCCGTTGGACAGGCTCCCAGAATAAGGACATTGCTAGTAGGTGTTATGTTCCCCTTGAAGCACGCCTGGCATCCCTGGGCTAAGGTTTGGGTTAGGGCTCCCTCCTCCATGCTTATTGACGGATGCAAACGGTGACACAAGTCAGCCGGATGCGTTTGAAAGGTACTCAGAAAGCCATTGTATACCAAACCGGCACACATGTTGTAAAGACCCTGTTTGCAAAAGTCGCAAATGCTGCAGGATAGTGCCGATTCGACAACCACACGATCGCCAACTTGCAGATGTTGGACACTGCGGCCGACTTCTTCCACGTATCCCGTGGCATCGTGACCCAGAGACATAGCTTCTACGGCACGGTTGCCGCTTTCATAGACATGAATGTCTGAGCCCGAGATTGCCACTGAACCTGTTCGTATAAGGACATCTAAGGAGCCAAAGGGAGTTATTATTAAATAAAATCTGCTCCGATTCTACTGTGATCTCACCGAAATCTCTTGGACTGGGTTTACTCATTGGTACCAATTCAACTTTATATGGGTCCGAAATATGCAAAGCATATGCCTGGCTATTGGGGACGCGCTTGGGTGTATCCGAATGCGACGGAGACTGTTGGGTACAAGCCCGGGTGCTGAATGATCGTTGCTGCGATGGCAGCTGAACTGGAGCACCCTGGCCCAACAGCCTGTCTACTCTGCGTTGGGAAGTGGAGTCCTTAATGCTTCGTCGGCATTTATTTAAGACTTATACGCACCTTTTTTGTCCTTGTTACTGCGGTCACACTTCTTCTTGGGGAACTTGACCTTGGAGCACTTGCCGCTACAGGTCTTTAAGGGGCAGCTGTCAGCGTCATCTTTGAAGCAGTCGTCGCGAATACCCGTGCGCTCCTTGATATCCTTGCCCCTACTTGTAGGAAACTTGGTCTGCAATTTAGAGCACTTGCCGCTACCAGACTTCTTTTTTTTTGAATAGGTTCGACGCAGAATGGTCGAGTGTATGGTAAAGCGGGCAGGAGGACTAGCCTTGTGCACCATTCGTTGTTTGAGGTCAGATTCTGGGGCCTTTGGAACGGTGCCACGATAGTGACGACGCAGAAGTGTCGAGTGGACAAGGAAACGTGGACCCTTAGGACTTGAATGTGATCCAGTCTCTTTAAAAACCTGATTCAGTGCCGTGGATAGGTAGCGCTTGTTGGGTTTATGATGTGCGGCGAAAGTCGAAAACTTGCTGCCACTTTTGCCATCCTTCTTGAACTTGGCACAAGGGTCTTTCTTGCCGTTCTTGCCATTTTTGCCACCCTTCCCATTCTTTCCATTTTTTCCACCCTTACCGTCTTTGCCATCTTTGCCACCCTTGCCGTCTTTGCCATCTTTGCCATCTTTGCCATCTTTGCCATCCTTGCCTCCTTCCTTGGCACATGGGTCCTTCTTGGCATCCTTGTCGTCCTTGGCACATGGATCCTTTTTCTCACAGGGGTCCTTGGCAAAAGCTATGATCTCCGTGGTACTCTCAGCTTTCTTAGGCGGCTTCTGCTTTTCGGCGGGTCGCTTGCAGGGATTCTCCTTGCAGGGATCATCAATTAGAGGACACTTGCCAGGACACTTCCGCTTCGGCTTTACAGGTGGATGCTTGCACCCATCTTTATCAGTCGGCACCGGCACTTCCAAAGGAAGCGCAAAATTCGCCTGAGGCTGATCAGCAATCTTCAGTTCGGCACTAGGCGCTAGGCTCATGGTGGTGTCATCCGCTTTTAACGTTAGATTGATGTCCTTGGAGAAGCCTTTATCCAAGGCTGTGCTGCACAGGTTGGCCGCCAACGCGGTGAGGCTATCGTTAAAGCCGGTCATCTGCTCGTCCGTCAAATTCAGCTTTTGGGCATCGAGCTCCACAAGTCCCGAAATCAAGCCATTGAACCTGAGCGGAACAGTTTGTTTTCCCTCTGTAGGCTTCTCCATTTCCACTTTGGTATGCATGCAAATCATGGGATCTTGGTTGCTAACAGCATTGGCGTCTTTGTTGGACAGGGCTTCGCGCAGGTTGGTCATGTCCATCTCGAATGAGAGCTCCATGGAGGAGACGGCCATACAGTTGAGGCGATCACTTAGGTCCTGTGGAACATCCACTTGAACCTCATCAATGGCATCGCCCCCCTGAATAGCTGCTTGAAGGTCGGTTTCCATGGTCGAGGCTGGGCTAGGTGGTTCCGGATTGGGCTGAGCCACGGCCGATATAGTTTTGGTGGTCTTCAGCGGCGGGGGGGCAGCTGCTGGAGTGGCATTAGTCAAGGTATCAATTAGGAAGCTAACCGCCTCCTGGCGCTGCAATGGCGTGTCGGTCTGAAGGGGCAGATCGACCGCTGGAGTGGCCACGGCATCGGCTGTGGCATCGGGTGTGGCAAAGTCCTCCCAGACTGCATTATCTTCGGCGGTAACCTCCGGTTTTGCTTCTTGTTCCTTCTTCGCTTCAACCTCCTGGAAGGCCTCATTCAAGGCATTGTAGTCGTCGACCATACTGCTGGAAAAGGCCTCGATATGGTGCGCGTACATGCGCAGTTGGTTAATGGCCTCAAGCGTCTCCTTCAGGGCGTTGGCATCCATGCCAGCCAAGTTTAAAGGAACAATCACGATCTTAAGGTCCTTCTCGCCACCAGCTTCTGGTGTGATTAATCCAATGGGCAGGATCTGAGCAGTAGTGTTGGGTGCACCAGTAAAGCTAATCCGCTTGCGCAGCATGTCCACATTTTCGGTGATGTTAAAGACATTGGAGGTCGTCTGCGAGTACCTCTGTACCCGAATTTGACCGGAACTCGTCGATATTGTAATCTTTGTCGCCTGGCAACCGGGGGAAGTGGAGCTGGCTAGCTCGAAAAGCTTGTTGGCACCGAGCACACTACGCGGACGGAAATGCGGAGCATGGTAGCTGAAACAACGTGATATCTGCAAAAGACGCGGTTCCATGCGGTAAGTTAGCAAGCAGCCAAGAATACCACGCATTTTTTGCTATTTTCAACTTAAAATTTTGTTTGAATAAAAATGTTAGAATTTCACTTTTGAATAGAAAAGAAAATTAAAAAAAAAAAAAATAGATGCGTGTTAAGTCTGGAGCGCACTGGAAGAGAATAAATTGGAAACCAACTGACAGGCCAAATATTAGAACGCAAGGCCTACTGACTATATTTTGCTAATAAATGTACATCTTTTCTCTACTAATTTAGTACTTTGATGTGTTTATATAATCGCATATACAGGTTACAAATTAAAAAAATATAACTGCACTATTGAATATATCCGTCTGTACATCGTATTATCCTCTGGCGTTAAGTTTTCAACGAATACGTTTACAAATTACGAGATTAACTTGTCCCTGAGTCGGAAAAATCAATTCTTAGGCATGTTATCTTGATTTAGATAAAATCAGCTAACTGCTAAGATCTTCAGCGTTATCAAGGGCCCTTGGCACACCGAAATACAGTTCTAACATTTTATAGAAATTCTTTTTCTTTGTGCACTTCTTTTCTTACAACGCACAGACCCCGAATAAGCCATGTCAATACTTACCTGAACAAAACGCGGAATTCTACCAAATAATTTCATAATTTATTAATATACTTGTAGCTTGATCGAACAATAAAATTTAGAAATTTGGAATTTAGGTCCAGAAATTAAGTTTAAAAAACACAAAAACAGAAAAACTGTCTGATAGCTGCAAGCTATAGTTTTAGACTGAATAACATTATTATGCGATGCTCCAAACTCAAATCTGCCGGGCCACTGAGATCTACAAAATTTGCTTTATGTTTTACCTCTTTTATTATTTTGTAGTCTATAAGTGTATCCATTGATCGCCTATTTCCTTTCCAAAATTCATGCCGGTCTCAGCTCTCTCCAGAGAATGATATGATGTATGGGATACCTCTTAAGCCCAAGAGAACCTACTATTTGAGGGGCCTCTAAATGCATATTGAATTAAATTTGGATACTACAATTGCTTGTACATTATCTGCATATTAATTGATTATCGGCCGACCCATTGCCTTCAGCTAAGCTCTAGCTTTGCCCACCTAAGTATTGGTTGTTCACCCAATCAAGTTTAGTTTAATTTTTGCTTTTGCTGGCAGCGGTTTCGGTTTCAGTTTCAGTTTCGGTTTCAATTTCGATTTCTAGCCAAGTGCTAGAGTTTTGGATATCTCATTGACAATGTTGCGGTTGTCCAATTCCTCATATAGTTCCCTATGTATTATTGTGTTTTTGAATGTAAGCTTTATACTTGACATTTTAATTGATCGGTATCTTTGTTTATGTGAGACTAAAACTTAGTTACTTGGCAGTTTTGATAAAATTGTATCAGGTTTTTAGTTAGGGATATTTTTAGCATAGTGTTCTAGTGGTTTGATTTTATTTATAAAGAAATATAACAACTAATAAATGAAAATTAAGCAACCCACAAGATTTTTAATATTTTTTCAAATTTACTAAAAAAAAAATAATAATTAGGGTCTAAGGACAGTCGATTTAGGCCCGTCCAGTGCAACATCTATGGGTAGAAAATATCAATTGTGGCCCAACAAGTGGCTCAGTAACATCCTCTTATGTGTTTTGTGAGGTTTCAGTTAGCATATAACTAATAAGCCCATAACTTAATGCACCTTTCCTACTTATTTTCGACCTATTACAATGACGACACTCCTATAATCATAGTTCCAAAATTTCATCTCTGATTTGTAGTACTCTCATAACTGATAGAAAAATTTCAAGGTCCAGCGACGCGTGTACGTTAGGATTTGAATATAGAAAGCCTCATTATCAGTCTTTTTAATATTCAATTACGTACATGTTGAAGACGGTCATTAAGTGTCAATTAAATATTCCATTTCTCCCTATATATCTACTTATATCTCTACCTATATCTACGTCTATATTCATAGTTTGTGTGGCTTTTGCTGCTGACGACAACGACGACATTTGCCAAGCCAACTGACCCCAATGATTCCAATCCTGGGATGAAACATGTTACTGTCTTGGTGAAGCCAATGAATAAGCCCCGTGAGGAGTTCGATTTCGAGCGGAATGAGAAGGAGGCCATCAATTCGGCTCACTTGCAGCAGTTATTTGGCAGTTTGCTGCAGCTGCCAGGTTCGGGAAACTCCAGTCTTCAGGTCACCATCGATACGGATGACGAGCCGGTCAGTGAACGCATCACGCTGGACGATGACATGGAGGCCACTGGTGAGCAGCATGAGCAGCAGCATCGCATCAAGCTGGCCATTCCTGTTCTGGAGCCGGTCAAGCATCTTATCAATACGGTGGGCGGTGGCGGAGTGAACGATTCCCATGTGAAGAGCAACACCCACCGCCTGATCGGCACCATGGCGTGCACGAGCCGCATCATTCCGGCGGAAATATCAGCTCTCCAGCCATCGAAACAGAGGAGGATCGGGAAACGGCCATCGACAGTACTGGGTTCGATGTGCTGGAGACGCTGGGAACGGCGGGAACGGTGCTCTGGGGCATCCTGCAGAATCTCCGGAAGCTTTTTGCGGCCAGTGCTGGGAATGCCAGTTCGGCATCCTCGGGCGGCGGAGGCAATTAGGCAGCATTTTGGAGAGCCTGTGTTCTGTGATTAATATTAGACTTATGTTAAATGGGATTTATAACACCTTGATACATACTAATAAAATAAACGAATGTCTAAAATAATTGTATTTATCTAAAGTTTATACTCAGCATTAGCAAAAAGTTAAAGTTTTCAAATTTATAATCGCAAAACAATATTACATATGTATGTATGAGCGTTAACTTAAAACTACTAATATAGAAATACCTTAAAAATAAATTAAACTTTAACTACATTTTTTGTATTACTGAGAAGGTAAATATTCTTCAGCGCATTTGAAATCTCGAAACGAAGGCCAAAATGCCATTTTTGTGTAGCATTTTAATTGAAAATATGAATTATATTAATATCTTTTTAAAGGTAACAATTTCTTTAACACCTGTTTGAATTTAAACTACAACGAGCTTTTGCCGCTAATGATGAAGTTGCCAGACCGGCGTACAGGCCACAGAGAGTAACGAGTTCTTCTTTTGCTGTTAATATCCGATTTAACTAGTTCTTGTTGGGCGGCATGGATAATGGCTACACACAATTTGTGTAATTACATTCACGCTTCCTTTTGATTTTGTAAAAATATAAATTAAAAATGCCGTGTTTAATTCGTCGTGACAGCAATCGATTCACGATACCGATATACAGTGACGTTGCCAGAAAGTTGCCGCAACCTGGCAGCACAGTCAGCTGTTTGGCACTTGCACAGTTCCGTTTTGTTCAGTTCATTCGCCGAACTCCCAAATAACGGACGTTTTGTCTGCTGCTCCGCCTCAGAAAAAATCGTGAAAAACAGACGCAAAAAGCTAAAAACGTTGCAAATTACTAAACAATAGTCAGTGAATAGTGTTAAGTGCGCGAAAGAGCGTTGTGAAACGAGTTCCAAACAGTCAAAAGTGCGAATCGCGGGTTTTTTGGCACAGAATGTGTGGCACAAAGCAGAAGGCGCGCTAAGCGAGCGTGCAAACGCCAAAAAGCACAAAAATGTAAATAAGTAATCGTGTGCCGCTGCGATAATTGTGGAAAGTCAACAAAACACACTGGTGGCTAGTGAAAAGTGTGTGAAACGCAGGTAAATTTGGCAAATTAGCATTTGGCCATCAAACTGGCCAGCAGAACAGCTGTTGGCGCTGCGTCTCGCTCTGTCTGCTTTCCGTCTCCCATACTCTCTCTTCTCCTTGTGCCTCCCGCGCTCTTTCGTTCTCGCTTCCTCTCTTTTTGTGTTTTTGCTGTTCCTCTTTGTGTGTGTTGCAATGTTGATAAATAGCTTGCTTGCTTCTATAATTATTCTTATTACACTGACGTCACAGCACCGTAGATACCAATAATTGATGTAGCTTATGCAAAGTACAGTAAAGCATCGCAAAAAATAAGCAAAGAGCCATGTGTCCGCAGCATGCCCGTTCACTTGTCGTTTGTTATTGTTGCCTGGCAACATGTTTCGCCACATCTGTCGCCATTCTTTGCACTTTCTCGTTCTCCCCTTTCTGTTTTTTTCGCCATGTTGCCAAGAGCAACTCCATTACAACAATTTGTTTACAACAATTGCAATTGAGCCAAAAGGCAACGCTTGCAAAATTAACGCGCCTACATTAAAACTTAAGAAAAGGCTGATAATTTGACAAGCCGACGTGTGACGCTCTTGTTTTCTTGCTATTTACATTAATTTAAATTAAATAAAACGTTCCAAATAATCAAAATATTACTAGAATAATCTATCAAAAATAAAAGAATAAAGATATCAGAAAAAATTTAAATCTTGCTATGTCCATACCGGTGTCCAGGTCCATCTATGCACATTAGTTGCTACTCTTAAATATATACAACCCTTCTTCTTAAACTATAAAATCAGCTAAGATTTCCTATACTCTTTGTAAGAGTATAAATCAGTTTAGGCGTCGGACTGACTAACGATTGCCGGCCACCGTTGGGTGTTTATTTATTGAAATACACTTCCTTAGTCTGTGGGTAGAACCGCTGCAAAGTCAGGTGCTACACCTTAAACTACCCACGTGAGATATCTCTATTTACTTTCGTTAAACTGATAAAAACGCAATATCACCAGTAGATTTCGCTCATTTCTAATCTCTATATGGTTTTAGCGTTTTCGCACTAGGTATAGATATGATAGATATGGTATCCCTGTGCTTCTAAACCTTATAATGAGTTTCATTGAATAGGTACCAAGTTCATAATCTGTACATCTATCCTGCTCCGTCATCATTTTCTGATTTATGTGATTTATCTTCAGACTTTATTTGTGCCGATCGCATAAATTTTTAGCTGTCTATTTCCAGATATCCCACACAAGTAAAGATAAGTTTTATTGCTCTAATGGAAATTTTACGCTTTGCTTATAAATTTTCCAATTAAAATAGCGTCAGATTTACATATAAATGAATTAGAATTATAATTAGTAGAAAATACGGCATAGTATATATAAAGTAAATTGGAATTACTTTTTAATTGTAAAATTCTTATCAGTCAAGATTTTACCAAACTTTCTTGATTTATTTGTGTTTGGTTTTAAAAGTTGTCACTCGCTGGTTGAGTGAGTTGCCTGATAATGGGTAGACAATTTGATAGACCCCCTTATCTGACCAGGTCAAGTGGATTTTTTCGAGCTTTTCTTTGGAAAGAGTTTCACTAATGAAATTATTTAACAACTTTTTATTTATTTCTGCCCATTTGCAGCTACAGGAAAATAGAAGACACAAGGCAATGGGTATTAACATATCTAGAATTCTTATCGGGCAGCGGCAGAAATATGATTGAGTTGGCTTGTCCATCGATGCAATTCACCCAGTTCCGGTTCTATTGGATTCGGATGGGCCTCTCCCTGATGATCTAGTGCGGTTATTTAGAGGATCGGAGGGGGAATGGAACATGCCCGTGGATATGCATAAGAACGTATCTGTCCAAGTCGATAGTGATTTTGCCTTATTGCTACCCAGTGGAGTTTATGAAATCAAGAAAATGGAACCACGCTCCAAAATACGAACAATTATTGTGTTTTGTCTCTTCCTGGCCATCGCCGGCATCATCGGATTCGGATACTTTTGTCAAGATCAGGTAAGTCACCCCACGAAACTCCTAATTAATTCTCATTGCGTTAAACATAAATTACTTTTCTCTGTCGTTTTGGCCCCCTTGGCGCCAATGCAAATTAGGCACCCATGGCAAAATGCTTTAATAATTTATATTTATATAAATTGGCATTCTTCTTTTTATTTTGGAGGCATGTCTACAGGCGAAACTCGTTTTTGCACTGCGCATCCATAAATTTATTGGTTTGCATATATTCGTTTATTAATATGCGTCGTCGGAATGTTTCCCAGCGGCTTACAGAGGGCTCTATAATATATAGATATCCGTCTGACTGTTTATCTATTTTGGTGAGCTTTAATTAGACAAAAAACAAATGTTTTGTTTACAACCTTTCGCTTGGCGCCTGCAGAATACGAACAGCTCTGAAATTGTATACACAAAGGTGCTAAAGAAATTTGCCCTCAATTAGATTCTCGTTCAGCAGGGGATCCTTCAGTATTGGGAAATCTGAAATATAATATAGAGTTGTGTACAGAATCTATCTGTTGATACAGTTTCACTACTCATAATGCCCCCACCACCACATAAATCTTTGGCACGCTTCTAATTGAAATTTGTTTAATAGAATGAAGTAATAAGACTGGCTCCCCGCTATTCCAATAAATGATTTAATAGCCGAGGTGTAAAGTGCATTCATTGTCGGCCATAAAACCAAACCGAGAGATGACAATGGAGGCAAAATAGCGCATTAAATTCCACCCCGGAGACCCATAAACTCAAACAAGGCGGTGGTATTAACTCAAGCGGTATATATATATAGATATGTAGATTTAACAATTAATCCAGCCTGTGCCCGTGTCAGTCATCTCTAATATTAGCCACGATAAATTCGTAAGAGAAGGTCGTAAATTTCTGCATGCAATCTTTGGTCGGTGCCATCAAACAGCAGACCAAACGTATTAGGCAGCCGGAAAAATTCTCCTCCTATATACATATATCTCTCTGTATTTGATGGGTTGTATGTCTGTAGCTGTTGAGATATGTTTCAATTTAATTTTTTGGCAGTCTTTAATTAAACAAAAAAACCAATTCGATGAGCCTCCAAAGAGTGAGAGAAATCTTTGTGGGCGTGACTTTTAGAATGAGTTCAATGTCAAATGGGGGCAGTGTTTTTGATATAGATACATGATACATATATTTATTTTATGGCTGCCATTACCTTGGACAATTGGCAAACTGTGTGCAAGAGCAATTGGAAAATATATATGAGTATACATTTTCCAAATTAAAATGGCGAGCAAAACGACATTAATTGAGCACAGCCAGCTCTGCTCTCCCCTATGCACGCGATCTTGCCAGACATTGTGACGAGGGTTCTGTGCTCTGTGCGTGCGTTGGAAAATTCGCCTCTTTTTTAAAAATAGCTTAATTAGCTGTACGCGCCATGGGGAAAAGCATGCTCAAAGGAAAACTGTGTGGCGAAAACCAAACATGAAAACAAGACTCATGCACTGCCACTGCTGCCTCCATAGTAGGAATAGACAATATATTCTTTATATTGGATGTGAGGACGCAGATTTTATTCTTAATGGGTCATGGCCAGGGAGCAATTAAAACATAAATTACTTTGACTTTCCTTATCAAAGGAACCTCAGATGTGGGGTTTATTTATTCTCACTGTACTTGAACCCTGAGAACTTGGTTTTGTTTAATTACAAGTCATTTAAACTTTCCAGTTGAGAAAATGTTGGTTTAAAATATGGTTTGTTTTTAGATTAGACGAGAAACTTATTATTAATTTAGATCTCTTTAAAGCCTTCTTATCTATATTATATATACATTTTATATAATTTATTTAAAGCTGCTTTTATTGAAATAATTAAGATCTCTTTAATTTTAAATAATGCTAATATATATCAAAACTCTATCTGTTGAATTATAACAATTTTAAATATTGTCACTATTTTCTGAGATAGTCTTAAGTGTGTAAGCAGGCCTAGTTTAGCCAAAATAAAATCGTTGACTTTTACTCTGAATATTAAATGCCTCAACTTCTCGTGGCTATCTTGTTTTAATTTTCTGTGTGTTTTCTAATTTGATTTTATTTATTTCAATGTATGCAAATCCCAAATCTCTGAATATTTATTCAGACTTGATAAAAAGTCATTAATTAAATGCCGATATGTGAGAGTGGCAGCTCAAGCCGTTCGAGTTTGTTTGGTCTGTAAATTATTTGTGGTAAGAGGATTGTGGATTGTGTGTGATTGTTGTGACGTCGGAGCTGTAATTGTTTACTGAAAATATTCGAAACTGGTCCAGAGTTCAATTACAGGTGTGTGTTTGTGTGGTATTGTTTTCTTCTTCTCGGAGGCACTCCGGTTTGCCTCAAGAATAAACAAGGCAAGGCACAATGTTTATTATTTTTGAGCGCCTGCATTTTCCGCTTTCATATTTTGTTGCAGTTGCTCGACCAAATTCACAAAGCGAAGCTAATGAAATGAAAACTATTTATGACTTTTTCGGTGTTGTGTCTGTGTGCGGCTATTGTTTTTCCGAAATTTACACACGCGCCCGCAATCCACAATGAAAATGTTTTGTTTTTAGTTTTTATGGTCGGTTTCCCCATACTATTGCTATGGTTTTTTTGTTTTTTAAACTTCTCTTTTTGTGGTATTAATATTCCAAATTACAGGGGAAACAACGAACAATATATAGGAGTTCCTGTATTTATAACATTTTTTATGTCTCTATTAAAACTGCAAAACACTTGTCGTTACCACCGGCTTCTAGATCGTGCCAAACGGAGTCATAAAAAGTTTGACTCCATTCAATATATTTGTATACTTGTTCTCTTTTTTTGGTTAAAGCATTTTTTAGCAAAGATTTTTTGTTTGTTAAGCCTGCATTTTATTGCCGCCTGTTTTTATGGCAACGTTAATCAATTTAATTGAGTGTGGGATTTATAGATTTCTACAGATTTTTATTGGGAATTTCGTGGAGCATTTCCTTGGATTTGTCATCTTGAATTTCCAAAGATTTATATACCCATGTTCTGGAGAAACGGAGGCCCTGCTGTGACTTAAATGTCTCAATTACCTTTAACACATCAATTATGAATAGATTTTGTTGTATTACGTGACTTAATACTATCTTTCCATGAAATTTATGCCGGACTTTGTGTGTGGGTTCCACAGATACAAGTTGCCTTAAAAGACTTCCCAGAGAGTGCCCTTAATTGTTTTGGTTGTGCGATCACTATAAGTTCCAGAGTATCTTTCTTTCTGTTTTTTTAAGAACTTTGGCATAATCAATTAGCATTAATATGCCTGTCATGTGACGTCTTCATTACGTCCAGTCAAAGACCGGTAGCGTGTAGGGGAACAAAAAACAAAAAGACACAAAAGCTGCTCAGAACTGTGGCAGTGGCAAGCAAAAACCGCAAAACACATAAAGTCCAGACAATTAAACTATCAGCATCTGAAATATTCATGATGGGGCAGAGCAAGGAATAAAGAATTCATTTTAATCAAATTTGTGTAAAGTTATAAAAAAACCGGACTACTATATAACGAACGATCAAAAAATGAATACAATTAAAATTATAACGTTTGCAGTTTTCAGCAGATTTTCATTAAATTTGAAATATAGCGTTTATATCAGTCTTGAATTTTGTTGCAAATTTTATGAAAATCGACTATATCACAATAGTCGATCACAAACGATCGTTAGATGTGGAGCAAAAATGCAAATCTGTGAATGTAAAACTGAAAATATAATATGTATAGGTGAATGAAATGAGAGCAGGTATTACTTTATTGTTTTTTTTAACATTAATATAAATATTTTATATTGTATGGAAGGAATCCAGGAAGTCATCGAAGTTCTATCTGCAAGGGTATATAAATTCGGCGTGCCGAAGTTAGCTTCCTTTCTTGTTGTACATAAAATCATAAATAAATGAGTTAAAGGTTAAATTAATAACAAAACTCTACTCTAACTTTATAGATTATCTTAGAGAAATGTTATTCCTAAAATCCAAACTAGAGCATCATTAAGTCGGCTTATCTCCCCTTACGAATATTATAATAATAATTTCTTGAATCCCAATAAGAGCATCTTGAAGTCGACTTGTACTCCCCTCTCAATAGTATCTTTTATGTGGTCTCTATATCAGGATTTGATGTTTTGAAAGCGCTGTAAACTGATAGCCGTTTATGATCTTAAATGGCAATGCAGGTAGATGGTATACCGACCTTCCCATATACTTGTATAAACCTCTTCTTGATACCTTCAGGGCTAAGTTCATCAAAGCGAATCAAATGCTTGCCATTTGGTATATCTGCAACATCTGCATAATACCTAATAATAAAATAATTTACACCGCCATAAACTGTGGAATTTTATTATTTTAGCATAGAAATTTTAAGCCGGCATTTATTGGACTTAAACAGCAATATTTTTGAGATTTAAACTATATAATTCGCTTCTGTATTTTGACCCTAAAATAAATCCAAATTGTTGATTCGTTAAACTGAATTCTCATTTATAACGTTGCAATATATTTTTTTGTCGATTATTTTTGAATGGCCATCAGAGTCAGTCAGTTGGTGGTAACAGTTGTGTATTGTGCAATGCCGTCATCGCTGGGATTTTCAAATTTTCATTCTTCAATCTCATCTCCACCCAGTTGGATGTTTTCTGCCTCTTTTGGCATTTCGGGAATCCATTTAGAATTATTCATTTATGCGCGGAATCATTGTGCCGCAGCAATGGCCAATTAGAAATTCAATTCAAACGTTTTGTAAAATGCAATTAGCGTGTTGTAACTCTAATTGGAATTATTTCGTCGTGCGATGTGCTCGATGCAACAGCAGCATGTGCATTTAAGTCCTGGCTAATTGGATTATTTTTGGCTCAGAGTTATGAAATGTGAGCGCAGGGAGGACTCTAGGCGGTGAACTATCATTTCGTTGCAGGAGCAGTAAAATGAATTCTAATTTGGATTGCTGTTGCTGCTGGGTGTTCTGTGCGGATAATATTTAGCTCACTGTAAATTCAAGAGGGCATTTTTGGAATACATAAAGGCATGCAAAAAGGCAATGTTTCTAGAACAAAGGAGTGATTTTACTGCAAGTTCAGCACACAGCTGATAAATTATGTACGGCGTTATGCATCTTTGTGCTTTTGCATTTAGCTAAGCTTATGTTATTGTCAATCTCAGCAAACTAAGCACTGTTTTCGCCTTAATGTAGATAGTATTCTCGAAACAACAATACTTGAAACTACTAGGCTTTGAGATGTACATAAGGTCTAGATTCTTGTCGAATACTCAATCAAACCAACCCAAGGATTTTGAGCTGAATGAGAACTGATTCTTTCTGAGACTATGGACTCAACTTCGTTGCCACTTTCCAAGTCGGATGTCTTCAACTACGGCTGGGATCTTCTCTACAGACCGTCCAGTCCGATGTCAACAAGAAGGCTGATCTGCTAATTGCTCTCGCTCACTTCCTGCTGACCAAATACTACAACTTTCGTTGCGTGGGCATTGGTGATGATAAGACATTGCTAGATGATGATAAGGGAAGTGAACTGCTTCCGGATTTCTGGAATGATGATGATACCAAATACTCGCTCCGCTATGTGCATGACAAGCAGCTGTATCTGCTCCTGGGCCACATCACCGATGATGTCCTGCTGCTCAACATAATGAATATTAAAACCAATAAGGTTTCCAATATCTGTGTTACTCCGGACACCCTGGTGGGCGTTATCAAGGGCAGTATTGATACCCTGATGCCGAATGCCGCGGAGCTGGTCGATCGCTATTGCAATGAGCTGCTGGACCCAGTCTTTACGGGTAACTCCCGTGAAGTCACCACCCAGACGACCATGATTGTGGAACTCAATCTTCCTCGGCGTCGCAGACGTGACGCCATCTATTGGCCGCGCGGTCTCCAGACTCGTCCTTTTGGATTTTTTTATTAATTAAAGGTATCAATTTTCGATGTCATTTAACCGCTCAAACTGACTCACTTTTCACTCCCTTTTTTCCGGCCAGTTGGTTTCCAACTAACAAATTCAAATACCAAAGCCACCGCAAAGGCAACAAAAAACTGTGTGCTAAAGTAAAGAAAACGAGCAAATTTGTGTAATAAGCATCCAATTAAAACTTTTCACACAATGCAACCAAAACCCGGGAGTAACTAAAAAGTCGACGGGACTAACAATGAATGCAGAGAGAGAAAGAGTGTCTAATGGCTACCAGAGGGTGCGATGGCCGCAGAAAGAGTGTGTGTGTGTGTGAGGAGGGAACTTTGCTCTCTACTGCCTCTCTCGCCCATTTAACGAGCTGCAAAATGTTAGGAGGCTGGAAAAACCGTTAGTATTTATATACGCCATGGGTGCCCAGCCGACGACTGAGAGAGGGATGGTGGGGCATAAAGGATTTCCGCTTGGTTGACTGAAATATGAGCAGATTTTTGACAATGCCATATACTTTTACACAGACATACCATGGAGAAACTAGTACAATTCATTATTCTGCGTGGAATACGTTAAATTTCATTCCAGACACCAAACTCAATCATCATTGCGATAATGACAGTGATAATTACAATCACGATTATTGTCTTTCCCACATATAGACTTAGATATATATATAAATACAGACATATGTATATAGATCATGTTGTGTGACAATGTGAGAGGCGTGTTTGGATTTCGCAATCGCAAAATGTTTCGCTTTATGGTTTCCGTCTATGTTACTCCCCTGTTCTGCTTTTAACTTGTTCTTCATATGTGGGGTTGTGAGATGTGATAAAATAATCCATTGGCAGACACAGACGATGGAAACAGAAGCCGTGAGATGAGAAAGAAATCTGGAGTTTTTGCACACTCTAAATGTTATGATGGCTTATGCCGTATTGGGTGCGTAGGAGGGTATGTTACTTTGGTCTAAAAAGTATTATAATATATAGAAATGGAACCAAAAACGAAATTTTTAATAAGTCTTTAGGTTTCTCAAATATATAGTATTAATTTTCATATCTATGTTTACCTGGCTTAAGAGAACTGAATTCATACTTGGGAATTTTAAGGTCAATTCTTTGGAACACTATACTTCCAATAAGAATCGGATGCATTAAACCTATTATAACCGGCTAAAACTCTGATTTATGTTCTGTAACTTGTATTGTACACCGGGTATCACATAGTCGTGTCTCTCAACTATATTAAACTTCCCTTTGTTTTGGCTCTTTCGGTTACAATACAACACTTGAACATTGTTTTGCACTTGGCTTCGTCGTTGTTTCTGTTTCTATACAACACCCCCTCACTGTTACCAACTCCACCACATCCCTGACATATTTTTCAGTTTGCTCACGTATTAATTGCTCAAGTGGAAGCGACAAGCTAAGTGAAACAAAAATACAAAAAAAAAAAAAAAAAAAAACAGCATAGGAAGAAGAGGAATTTCTTATTGACCGAAACATGTTTTTGATGTTTCGCAGTACTTGAGGGCAGAAAAGTCTTAATATAGGGATATCCTTAATGTTTCTTCATTTTGATTTATGAAGGTTTCTGGCTGGTGATTAATTTTGCTAGCCCTAAGAGATAAGAGCATAATAAATTAGACCAAATGACATTATTTCTAAATTAATTAGTCAAGGTGTTCTAGGGAAAGTTTAGCTTTTCATGTTCTTGAAATATATGCCATATCGTTCGATTTTCAATTACTTTGCTGTATATTTTCTGTGCCGCTTTAATCTTCTTGAATTCGTTTTCTTGGGTATAACTTTCCCCTTATCCTCTTGCGATTTCAATTTTGCACAAATCTATTTTCAGACTGATAAATCAGATTAGCTTCTCCTTCGACCACCCATATACATAGATTTGAGTGGGCTTCCATCACCTCCACCAGCCACACTCCATCTTATTCCATGCCATCTTATACCAACCCCGAATGGTATCCCCCTAAACTCACATTTCGAGTGTGTGAGAGATTGTTTGTGAAATGTTTAAGGGTACAGTACAACTTCAGTGCCACGAAATGCGATTTGTAGTATTCTGAATGTGAATTTTAATACAATAAAATAATGTATAATTGTATAAGGATATGATTTATCAGATTATAAACACACAAAATGTTAATGAAAGACTTGGCTTATTCCCAGCCAAGAAGCCTGAAAAACAGCCTCATTGGTACTTGCTGAATTCGTACTTGGGAATTTTAGGTGCACCCTGCAAAGTTTTTTACTCTATAATATAATAAAATCTAAAGTCTTCGATGAGAAATAAATCTTTAATAGAAACCTTGTTTAATTTACAATTCCTTTACACTCCCCTTTCTCATTTCCTGCAAATTATTTGCATACCTCTACAGGTTATATTACAACAATTTCGAGAGAGTGATTTTTGAGCCAGGGAAGATCGACTGTATTTCTTCGGTATTGGATCCTCTTGCAATATCCATCAATGCAGACATCCGAGTCATGGACTGCATATCAAACAAGCACACACGGCTGGCTACATGTTTAGTCGAATGTCTGAGGATTTGTATATGTACATATATATATATTTAAATCGGAGGCACTCCGTGAATGCCGATTGCATACTACTGGCCACTGAAAGTGCTTCACGGAAGTCGTAAATCGTGGCAAGGGACCAAGCTGACCGAGGACTTTAAGGGAGTGGCGGTGGCGGTGCAAATGTCAATAGTGTGAATCGATGGCTATTTATATGGAAATATCAAACGATTCCCCAGACAGACGAACCGTGCACGGCCATCCGCCGCAAGTGTATTTATAGGCCGGGTCTAACCCATTAATGGATCCCAAGAAAACGAAAGGGAATATGTATCTATCTATCTATCTGTTATGGTTCAAATAGCATTTTCCCAACTCATCTTTTTCATCTTGACCGACAGGCCATCAGCAGCTGCCTCGAACAATTCATCATCATCGTGGCAACTTCAGAAAGTGCAGCCAATTTTCAACGCCCCATAACGGAATGGCCACTTAGACAGCTCGGATTTTCTAGGCACTGGCACTGGCTGCCGGAATTTTCACTGAAGTGTGTTTGGCTGTTTAGCATAAGCCGCTTAAAGAGGCCCATGTCGATGATGATAACAATACGACAAACAAAAGAACTCTTGGCACTTCCAAAGAGACACAATCCAAACTCATCGAATCTTCTCAAATTAAATCCCAAAATGCAGCAAATTGAATTTCGGGGGCCTCACTCTTTTCTTTCTCTGGGATTTTCCCTCTACACTTCTACTTCAATGATGTTTGTGTTAAAGTAATACCCTAGCTTGTTTGTGATTATGCCGAACATGTGTTGACAAAATCGGGGTTAGGGAAAACCGAACTGAAACTGAAACAGAAACATGGACCGCACATGAGAACACAGAAATGCAATTGAGACCAAACGGAAGCCAGCTTCTGTCCCTCTTTTTTCTTGTTTGTTTTGCTCAATCTTTAGTTTTTCCTACTCTTTTTCTGGGTGAAGAATATATTATTTCTAGGCATATGGTATATCGTTCATGTAAAGTATAGGGATCTTTGGAAAATCGTTTTATTTATACATAAATCACTATAAATATTCATTTTGCCTGAAATATTGCTTCAAAATCTAAACCTTAGCATAATTTTTTCATGACAAACACTTAGTAAAACAAACAAACCATTATCTTTGTTTCATCTGAAAAAAATTCTTAAGGTCATCTCGTTCTCTCAATATAATTATAAATTTTCTAAAAACCATTAAGTTCAACCAACTGGCTTGGGTACGATTATGCATACCATTATTCTTATAACAATTGAGTTTATTTTTAATCTCACAAAAAGAAAGATTGTGTGGTATTGGTGCCAAAAAGTTTTGCTCATTCAGCAAAGTTGCTTCTCATATTTTGTTCTATTTAAATTGGAACATAAATTAGAAAAAAATTTGCTTTTTTAGCAGAAAGAAAAAAACTAATGTTTTATGGTGACTTCTTTACTCGTATTATGGCCTCATTGTATCTCATGCAAATTGTCACATGAATATGAATGCAATTCCGCTATGCTTGTTGTTGCACTTTAAAATGCGTGCTGGGGCAACTGTGGAACTGGAAATGGAAATGGAGATGGAAATGGAACTCGGGGGATGCGACCGGAGGGGCAGGGAAGGGCAGGCAGGAGACGGAGCTGGAGCTGGACAAATGGGCGACCGCCGAGGCGTTGAGGCCCCACTGGAGGCATGCAAAATATGTAAAACCAAGAGGAAAAGAAAGTTTTAGCAAGCGAATAACGTAGATACCCTAAAGAAATTATTACAACATGCTTTGGAATAAAGATATATAGATTTGTAAGGAATTTACTTGCTTTAAGTATTCAAATAATTTTAAATTGCATGAAAGAAACTAAAGGAGAAAATTTTTATTTTAGAATTCTGCCATCGTTCTGCGTAAATTGTTAGAGAAATAGCACCTTAAAATTCTCAAGTACGAATTCAGCACCAATTTGTTTAGGTTATATCCGTTGGTTAAATTATTTCTGAACTAAAAAACGTGATGATTCAAATTCAAATGTGTGATTAAATCAACCCAATCATCAGGCTAAAAGTGAGTAAAAAATACCATCCAAATAAAGTAAATGAAGGTTGCAATATTAACCACTCACCAAAAGAAATTGTTTGCTATACTATATGAAATACATTAAGAATAACAAATATATTTTGAGGATAATCATTTAAAACTTGACAAAGTGAATATTTCGTCTTCATCAAAATGACTTAATTGAGGAGTAGATAATTTAAGTTTGTTGACTTTTGGAATTCTCGGGATTCCCCTTATTTAAAGTGCTGCCAAGTCCCTTCAGGGCCGAAATAGTCCCCTCCCGTTAGGGTATTTCTTCGACAAGGGGGCCCAGAAGAAGAATTAAATCGTCTCTATGCGTCACGGGGCATTTGAGGCAGTTTAGTGGAACGGCGGAGAAGTGAGGCTGACTTCGTTGACTCTGAATGGCCTGGCATTTGGCATTCGGTCGTCCGTCGTCACTTGAGAGCTAAGCGAATGCGGGCTCAAAAAATGAAAAAAGAAATGCATGTATAAAATATAAAAAGAAATGAGACGGCACACAACAGCAATGGCAAAAAAACGAAGAATTAGAATT